CTTATTCAACTCGCGAATACTTGCAGTAGACAGGTAAGGAAGAAAAAATGGAAAATGGCCTGCTGTGCCTGATGTTTAGTCGATTACTGAGGAAACCATATCGTCAGGTGATGGTCAACTGCCTTCATTAGGCTTAATTCGAATAACATTATGACCGGCGATGCCATGTTCTCTGCATTTGGGTCCCAGCTTTCACTCAAACGGCCATACTTTCATATCTGTGTTCTGTCGGTGGGCAGGCAAGAACAATAACGATGGAAGTGGCCTGTTACTCTTTGTGTTTTGTCGACAACCAGTGACGTCATATCCCCAGCTGATGCTTCATGGTCGTAAGTCAGCATAAATGAGCCAGTATAAGTTCATAATCAATGACGTCACACTCAGATAATGCGTCAAAGCCTTTTTTAGCGCTTGAAAACTTGCGGCAGACAGGTACGGAAGGAAAAGATGAAGTGTCTTGCTGCACCCAGTGTTCAGTCGATTAACGATGCTGTCAACGTCAGCTGATGCTTTACGGTATTCAGACGGCACAAGCGAATCCGTGTTAACTCATGACTAGTGACGTCACGCACTCAAATGATGCGGCAGTCTTCATTCAGCACGCGAGTACGTGTAGTAGACAGGGACGAAATGTAAGGATGGAAAACGGTCTGTCGTTCATATTTTCACGGGCTCAAATTTGGGGGTGCCCGCTCGGCAGCTAAACTCTTTAAGTATCCTGGTGAGGTTCGTGAAATGTTTCTAAACATACATTGTAAGCGCCAGATAGCGATGACGTAAACTGATGTAGCCATATCGTCATGTGACAACTGACAGCAGTCAACAGACGGTCTCGACATAAGCGAGCGTGTTTTAATCATACCTTGCGTCTCTGATGCTGAGCAAGCGCTTGCAGGCTGCTATATCGGCCGCTTTGTTTTCTGTTTCCTTCTTGACTCTTTTGAGATGTTTTGAGACAAAAGTGCCGTCAATGCAGCAGGGGATGCTAGATCTAACCCCATTCAAAGCCTGTAATAATGAGCTCCGAGCACCTCGGCAAATGTTTTACCTATACACCGCAATGGCCGACCCCGCACCCCAGCGGAAAAAGGGCTCAAGTGGATCCGGTGGCGTTGGGTTGAGTTGGAAAAAACAAATCGCTTTCCCGGTGGTCTTTTGGCTGGTGATCAGAGAGTCAACCTGGTACGGGGCAGCTGTCTCGTAGCCTCGTACAACATGAAAAACGTCCCTCCTCTCGGTCTCGTGTAGATAAATGACCGCAGGCAAAATCATCCGTTTAACCGGAATTACGCTATTGTGTTGCCGGTTCAGGGTGCAAGGAGCAAGCCATGGTTCACATATGGGTGGTTTGATGTCAAAATCACCGATGCAAACCATTCGGGTATTGTCTATATTAATAAATAGAACTTATAAAATGTGGTTGAATTAGATGGATTCCTGAGGTCCGAGTCTACCTTAAGCAGTGCCTTGCTGTGTGAACCCTGACCAACTGACCAGCCTATTGTAAAATTCCAACTAAGCGACAGAACTTTGTGGCAGTAGTGCAACGTGTCGTAATATTCAGCCCGCTCCACCCTGTTGATCTTCGGCGGCCGCTGACCCTGGCCACAGGCCTTCCCAGTCAGAGCCAAGTAGCGAACACGTAAGCGACTAGAACCTTTAATCTCATCACCCTTGCGTAGCTAAGTTGTGTCAGGCGCTATAACTCAATGAGATACGATGGCGGCCAGTTGTTGATTTCACGACCGAATACAAAGCCTAACTGAAATGTAGGGGCCCATCGGTTAGGGAATCCTTCGTTAAGTTTTTGCCCCCCCCCCTCAAATTCGGATACGCCGCCTCTACTCTAAAGGGGTCTCTAGGGCAAAGGGAGAGCGCGCTGTGCTTGGGGAGGCGACAGCCGCACGTGGCGAATAGGACGGCCCCGACGCTGGTCACCTCGTGACGACCTCCGGCTCCACTGGCAACGGGACGCCGGCAACGACGCACGCAATGCCCACAGAGCTGTCGTCCTTCATCCCACCCGGACCATGGATGGCTGTACGCTCCGAAGATGTCCTTTGACCTTCCCCCATCTGGCGGACGCGGGCAACGGCAACCTCTTCCCGCCCGTGCAATTGGGGAAGGGGGGGGGGGCACGGGTCATGCGATCCTCCCGGCCCGGCGCTGCGTCTCAGAGCGAGGGGCAAGGCGATTCCGTGATCCCATAATTAAGGACGAGGGGGGTGCATATACCCGGCATGGGGACGCAGAACAAAGTCCAAAAAGTAGGCTTATATGTGACTATGTAGCAGGCTTATATGTGCTATGTGTAAAAGACCGTGAACACAGGCACGTTTCACGTTTCAATTGTTGAGTGTTTAAGCGAAACTGGCGGGATTTGGCCGGGCGGAGACAAGGTACTCGCGCCCGGCGTGGGCTGATGTGGCGACCGGGGCCGGTGACGCACGCTTCGGCGCAGCGGCTCGCTTATCAGCCCACGTCGGGGCCGGTGACGCGCGCTTCGGCGCAGCGGCTCGCTCATCAGCCCACGCCGGGGCCGGTGACGCGCGCTTCGGCGCAGCGGCTCGCTCATCAGCCCACGCCGGGGCCGGTGACGCGCGCTTCGGCGCAGCGGCTCGCTCATCGGCCCACGCCGGGGCTCTCTTGGTTTAGCCGTTGGAGGCGGCTATAAGGCCCCAGGTCGTTTCATTACGGCCCTCACCGGTCATGCGTCGAGGCCGGGCTGGCGTACGAGCCGCGCCCGCACATCCGTGACAGTTTTATTTGACGGGGACGCTAGTTTATTTGCCCGCTGGTCGGCTTGCTCGTTTCTCGCTTCCCCTCTCAGCCAAACACCGCACAGCTCAGGCGCGCGGGTTTTGCTTACAATAACGCTTCTTAACCTTTTCTAATGTGCTACCTGATCCAGCTTGCGCCCCTTCAGCCAGACTGATCCAGACCCTTTGTCGATCCGCAACCGACTGCCCCTTTAAAGGAACGAGTCGTGCAGTAGCGGTGATGACTGCGAAGAGTGATAAGCACGGAACGCGTCTGGGCAGCCCGTCTCGACCATGGTCAGGACTAACGAGGAACCAATCGACCGCAGTCCCGCCCTCACCTTTGCTGGGTAACGCGGCCCGAAGGCACGGATTCTTTCTTTTTTACCAGGGGACAGTCGACTCGTTTCGTTGTCTCCCACCTGACTTCAGGGGTGACGGCATGGAGAAGCGTAGGTCATGGTACGACCAGGGACCAGTTCGGACCGCCCGGAATGCAGGATTACGCACGGTGGTAACTGGATCTTTGCCCTTGATGGTGGCATGTTTCGGACGGAGAGGGATCCCGCCCCCGACGTCATAGGAAGGGCGACAGGGGACCAGGTCGTCGGACAGTTCTGTACTGGACGGGGCGCCGCCTCAGGCGTATGCGCAGCTGTGGGAAGCTGCACGTGGTGGGCGGGGCCGAGGGAGCAGTGGGCCGCCCAACGGTGGACGAGACGCCAGGGAGCGTCGTCCAAATAGGTAGCCGTCACCCTGAAGGTCAGGCGAGGGAACGAGTCGTCGTCCAGCTTTAGACACCTGAGGCCGCCCGAGTAGCCGCGTCGGTGCCAGGCTGATCACAAGCTGACCAGCTGTTTTAAATAGGACATGAACGTGGCTTCAGTGGATTTTTGAAATTCGTTAAATCAGGTCAATGCGGCACGAGGACTCACGCAGGAGTCCCAACTGTAATGCCAGCCAAGGCTTTGCATAGGGAGGGGGTCAAACGGGGGGGGGGGGGGACTCCTGCCCCTATACGAGCCAAAGATGAGTCGGGTGACGTAAGCGCCAGCGGGTGTGTCTGCTCGGAGTGAATGTGGCGGGGCGCCGAATGCATGCGGTCTGTGTGAATAAGTTAATGACAGGGGGTTTCCAGGGTCGATATCCAGCGGACTCATGTCAGCGTCATTCGCTAGAAAATCGGGATCCCGCCATTCCAGGCGCGCTATGGAATTCAAGACGTTTAGCTTTTCTTATGCGCCTGGTACCGTCTCTACCCCGTTTAAATACCATCACCAACCAAGCGGTGGAGGTGGGATCCCGTGGCTGAGGGCAGATCACTATGCACGGGGAGGCAGCCGTTCATGGCGCCTGACCGGACCTACCATCCCGGCAGTACCCCGGCCACCCGCGCCATCCCAACTCTGTGGCTCGCGCGTGTGTGATGTGGTATGTACCGGAGTCAAACGGGCCGGGCTGTGCGCTGCGCCACCTGGCTCGTATGCTGACCAATGGGCTCCTCACGATGAATTTGCTCTTGCGAGGAGGCGTATTAGCGGCAACCGGCGACCCGCACCAGCGGCACCCAGGCAGCAGCGCAGTGCACGCGCACCCCAGCACAGATAACCCCTCACATACACTACCGTTCGTTAAAAGAACTCAATATCACCATTCCTGGCAGAATTCAAGCTCAAATGAAGGGTAGCCCCACGTTACCCGTAAGTTGCCGGGCAAGTTCGGATTTCAATAGCATGAGAATATTCACTGCCGTATGGACTAGTGCCCCTTGAAAAGCCCTATCTCTCAAGATGATCGCTCAAGGCGTTATTCACGATCAAATGACAAGGAACTCCACATCGCTAGTTACTGGCCGATTTCAGATTTTTGAACTTCAGTGCATAGGCTGGCGTTCGTCAAAAAGCCCTGACCTTTCAATGTCTCATTCAAGGCTCTGAAATATCCCCCATCGCCCGTAACTTTTGGGTGATGAGAACTACCCAGTCACCTGAGCCAGAATGTGACCTTGAATTGTGACCTTGAGCGGCCAGCACTTTAAGAAGGCCATTAGTTAACCCGCTAGAGCCGATCACGATGCTTACAAGTCCGAAATCGGCCGGGAGTTCTAGGACATCTTCGAAGATATGGGCTCCCAGAATACCGAACAGCCGAACTGGGCCACTCAAGTGGTGCACTTAGTCACCGTTTCAGCCCCGCCCAAAACCACGATGGCGCGTCGAGACGGGCCGCGCAGAAAACAACATTGAAATAATCATGTTGGCGCAAGCATGAACACCCCATATGCTAGGAATCAAACCACGCATCACACATACCGCAGTCACTCTTCAACAGGTCCGCGCCCGTAAGCAACATTTAGAACCGAAACACTTGCATGTCACGACCGCGAACTGTTTGGTGGTAGCGTCCGACCGACAGAACCATGTCCAGCCGTATGACGCCGCAGCAGCTCAAGTGATGGTCCAAGTTACCTGCTACAACGCAGACTGTACGTTGCTTTCACCCTCGAAGTTTTCGTGAACACGAATGCCCGAAACTCTCATACAGTTTGCATCACGAAATCGATCGCAGAGTACCGTCACAACTGGATCATTCAGGTTCTTCTCGAACCGCACTTAGCATTAACATCACTTGTACGTCGACAAATATGTTGTTTAAACGGCATTGCACGTGACGACAAAATAAACAGCATCCGAGACGAGTAAAGCAAGGACCGCAGTGACACCAGCCCAGCATAAACTAATGCTAGGCTCGTCTGCCATGCACAGCTGGCGGACTTCCAAGAATCGGGTTCAAAACACAGCTCACGATTCACCGCGCACAGTCTCATGTGTCGCAGTGAACGAACAGTGAGGCGGGGGAAGGGGGGGGGGGGGGTGAGGCAGCATGAGACGCTGTGACTGCATGAGGGTCTCCACGTGACAGATTCGCTGGTCCAACGAGACGTCACATCACGAAGTGAAAGAAAATAGACCGACTCCGCGCACCCAGCGACCAGCTTTCGCTAACACTCGCGAACAACACATCAATGTCGCGCCCCAAAGCCCTTGTAACACGATCACCGATCGTAAATTAACCTTTTATCACACTTCAGAACAAGGCCGTGAGCTGCATTGCCAATCGACTTATGCGCGCGAGCGGCCCGGGCCGGCGCGTCTCCCTCCGCGCAGCGCGCCGCGGTGGCGGCGTTATCACGATATTTGCGATAGCTGGCTGAGCAGCGTGGTATGATCGACGGCGTCGAAGTTAAGGCCGGCCCACGTGTCACGGACGACGCTGCGCACTACGGCCGTGAAGAAGCTGGAGTAGCGCGGGCTCTCTGCGTACCGCTCATACTGGTCCAGGCTCTCCTGCAGCTTCAGCGTCAGCGACTCGTAGTTGCACCGGACCACGTCCAGCACCTGCTCCTCTGTCAGACTCGTTTGGTTGTTGGTCTGCGACCACGCGTCGATCTTGGGCGAGAAGTGGTTGCAAATGGCGCGGATGTTGACCAGGTTGTTGGTGAGTCGCATGGCACTCTCGCGGTGCTCGCCCTCGTTCGAGTAGCGCAGCGACATGGAGTACAGGTTCGAGAACACCTGGTGCATGCGGATCAGTTCGTAGTAGAGCTCGTCGTAGCTGGAGGGCGTTGGCAGGAACGTGTCGCCGTACGTGATGAACAGGTTGAAGATGTTCACCACCATGATGGCCAGCTCGAAGACGTTGGTGCGCTTCACCACGGCGCTCTCGTTCGCCACGATGAACTTGAGCAGCGACATGAGCGCCGACCAGAGTTCGCGCCAGTGGTAGCCCAGGCGCACGCGACAGCGCTTCTGGTAACAGAGCACGCGGTGGATGATGCCCACACACTGCAGGTAGAGGTCCAGCGGGAACCGCTTCATCAGGTGCGACATGACGAACTCGACTGTGAGGTCGAGCAGTGCCGTGGCGAGCGGTTGCGGGTGCGCCGGCCGGTCCGCCGCCTTGCGGTGTCGCATCGGCAGCCGGTGCAGACGCACCACGAACACCAGGTTGGCGTCATGCATCAGAGAGTTGCAATACTGGTCCTCTGACACGCACGTCAACACAATGAAACACTGGCGCACGTTGTTGGCGGCCGCGTCCGACTTCGTGTCCTGCATGACGATCGAGCAGTACTCGAGGAACGCCACCAGCAGGTTGACGGGCGGGCTGAGCTCGGCGACGGGCAGTGGCGGCGGCGCCTGCTCGCGGTCCAGCGTACTCTGCGGCGACGGCGGCTGGCTCGCGTCCGTCGACGCCTGTGTCAGCGTCGCAATGAAGTTGCGGTTCAGGTGGACGGCCTCGTACAGCGCCACCAGCACGCCATGGTTCGCCTTGATGCTCTCGGTGCGCGTGGCGAGCTCGTCAGCCACGAACATGTTGCCCACCATGCTGGTGAAGCTCGACAGCCAGCCCTGGTTCTGCGCGTCGTACGTCTGCGCCGAGTACTTCCAGTTGAACTCGGTGAGCGCGGCGGTGATCACCTGGCTGTAGCCGTTCAGCGCCAGCTCGTCGTCCAATATGGACAGCTTCACCACGTACGGGTTGGCCGCCTCGTACTTGCGATAGTTGACGAGCAGCGTCAGCAGCAGCACGCACTTGTGACCGTGCACCGAACGCGTGGCGCTGTGCGACAGCAGCTGGATCAACGGCTCGAACAGCGAGCTGTTGATCATGAGGTACTCCAGCAGAGCATTGCGGCTGATGTCGGCGGCGGCCACGGCCACCACCAGCAGCACGTCCAGCACCAACGCGCGCAGCGTGTCCGGGTACGGGCCGGCCAGCAGCTCGGCGCAGCGGCCGCAGAGCACGCCCATCTCGCGCTCGGCCGCGTCGCAGCCGGGCAGCAGGTCGACCGGGTCGGGACTGGGCTCCGGCCGCGTCTGCCGACACACGCCCGCCACCACGCCCGCCAGCGTCTGCAGCGCGTGCGCCGCGCGCAGCAGGTGCTCGTCGCAGGCCACCGCCACGCAGCGCGCAAACAGCTGGTTGAGTGGCGTCTTGAGGGCGACGAGCTGCTCGCCGGAGAGCCGCGACAGCTCCGTCTCCAGCACGACCACCTTCGGCTTCAGCAGGAACAGCTCGTCCCAGAAATTGGCATTGGACGCCACCAGGTCCTCACCGCGGAAGAACGACTCGTAGATCTGCACGATCTTCTCCTTCATCTGCTTCTTCTGCGATCCCGGCCGCAGGCGGGACGCCATCGCGGATGTTTTGAGTGTGACCTATCGGTCTGGCTCCAGTCTGCTGTGTCCTTTCCCCTGCAGCAAGGATGGGACTTCATACAACAAATGCAAGAAGAGTTAAATTGTTCACCTAACTGGTCTAAGTTAATGAAATCAGAAGGTAAGAATGCATCTGCTCAAAGCGAAATGAATAGCAACAGCAAAGGCTTTATTCTTTTTCCACATGCATGTTGTTGTCTCATATGTCGATTTGATGTGGGAGACATACCCAGGGTGCTAGATAACATCAGAATGATTCAATTGTAATTAAACTATCCCACCAAACCTATCTTTCAACTTGATATAAACAAAACAAAACAGATAATTCATAAATCTGCCTCCAAACAGCACATCTTTCCAAGAAGCACTATTTTCAAACATCCATGCCATAGCCATCATTACCCTTTTGAGGTGATCAATGGCATTTGACTCCATTACATTTTATGTCTTGCTGTTAGAGGAAGAGTTCCACATCTGCATGGGTTTTAACCTAAAATAGTCATCTTGAAGACCTTTCAATGCTGTTCACAATACTGCCCTTCTTAAGACCTAAGCCCCTCTAGTTTCTGAGCTAAGCACCCACCAAAATTGGGAAGGTATATTGGGGAGAGTATTTCAAATTACCTTCACCTTCACAATGTCATAATTACATCATTCAAATCCTGCTTTTCCATACCACATGCTGCAATGACTGCCAATAACAGCATAATTGAAGGTGTTCATATCTGGTGTTCTGAACATGATTTCAAGACACAACAGCCATCAGCTGGTTCTAAATCAATGTTGTGGAAGGTATGATGATATAATTAAACCATGACACATTGTGAAGTATATTGACTAAACAGAAAACTATGCCATCTGGAGCAGTTTTTCACCTAAAAGTGGTACCAACAGATATAAGTGGGCTTGTTTTATCATATCTGATGTTTACTTGAATACCTTCAAATATTAAATATTCCCTTAAATGATTGAGGGCAACAATGTCCTTGGTAAATAAGAACCTACATCAAAAATGGTATCTTTTTGAGCAAAGCTTAAGCTATCTGATCAGGGTAGCATAAATTGACAATCTGAAACAGGCATTGCATGCTCCACCTGACAGCCACAAGCCTGGCAATATCAGGAGGCATAAAAGGAATGCCTCATGTATCTTCCATCTTTAAAAGCACTTTTACTTTTAACTATGCATGGAAAAAGAATAACAAGACCCTACCCATTGCAAGTGTCAATTCTGTGGAGCTTGCCCCCCAATTATTTCATGATTTAGGATCAGCATGAATTCAATAACTGGGAGAAATTGACAAAATGCCACAGCTGGTTTAGGGCTTCCACATATTGATGTCATACATTAAATTACACCATATACATCATGGCAAACATGTCCAAAGTACATGCTACATCACACCAAAACTTTCAGCACATCTGAGCATATATCAGTTTAGAGCACAATAACCATTAATTTCAGCACATTGGAAGCCAATCTCAAGGGAACTATAATACTATGAATGTAATCTGGGGCCATCATACTGCAAAAACATTGTTTCATGCCAAAATTGAGGATGTATGTTATTTGGCTTGGGCTGAGTCACGTACACATAAACACAAGGTCAGTGTACTGGTGTCATGTAGGTGCCCAGTGCTGTGGATGGAATTTATGGCAAATTGACCTGCAAATGGTTCATTTACATTTCATTTCAGCCACGGTCATAAAGAATTGATGTTCCCTCTGCACTGCTTCTGAGCTCACATCAGTCTTTTGGGTGCTGCTTGCACACTTTGGGTTTGGTAGTAAATGGAACCAATCATTCATACTTTGACAGGGATTAGGACTAATTGGATAATGTTCTGAAGGAGAACACAAAGTCTGTGCTTCTCCTGCCGTCATGATCAGAACCCTTGGAGTAAACAAAATATTTAAGCTCAATATTGGGATGAAAATAAAAAGATACTGCGACACTGATCATGACTCTTTGATTGCACAGCAAACCGGCACCCCGCAATCCGGTACTCCCGGCGTACGTTTCGCGGGAACGGTCTAACACACTGAACAACTGGTTGATGGAAATTGGACATGCCTCAATGCCAGATGTACGCGGACGCGCCCTCCTCGCCAGACTCAACACGAATTACGCGAACACATTCAACGTGAAGATGGCACGCGCCACCTCATGAAGCAGCCGACAGCACAAATCCACAAAAATCTACATTAATAGCGCATCTGTGACAAGAGCAATAAGACCGAACATTGGGTTGAAGCCACGAAAACTAATCGGGTGGGTGCGAGCGCTGTCTACGTTTACACACAGCTCTCCAACTCAGTTCGAAACATTTGGCCTTACTATAGAGGTAAGAGATGAAAAATAACGTTCTTCGTGAGTTACCAGTCAAGGATTTACATTTCCATTTTGTTCACAAAGGTTCGGGGTACAAAAGCTCCTGTACCCCATGGTTTCTGTCATTAAAGTTTCCGTCACTTGCAATCAGGATACATGAGATTTCGTGGGATTAATGTGGGGTTTAGAAGCCTTCTTCATATTGGGTCAAAAAAGCTTGAAATCAACCAGATTTTCAGCCTGCTGTGGCCCCAAATTCAGATGGGATGTCAAACATGCACATAAGTTGGAGTTTGTGTGCAATGTGGATGGTTGTGGTCAATTTCATGTGAATTAGTTCATTGCTCAACCAATTTGGCAGAGGTATATCAATTGCTGGTTCTACCTTGCCCAAAACATAAACTCAAATTAAGGCCTCATATTGTAGATATTAATGAAAAGAAAAGACTGCAATAGGGGCAATCTGGAATTCCATCTACATGTCTTAGATTTCCTGGGGTCTGGGATTCCCTTCAGTCATCCCACCTGATACATACTCATGCTGTGTGGTAGTGCCTACTCATTAATTATTCCTTGTTGCTGTATCTCCAAATTACCCATTAATGTATGTGGGCCTAATTTACTTGGTGTACAAGCAATATCCATTACTTACAAAAACTTTATCTTAAATTGGGAACCACATTCATAAAATGTTGTACTTAGATCCACCCTCACTTTACCTGAAGATAGTGGTTAAATGACATTATCAAGGACACATTGGTGATGCTCTCACCAAGCGATGTTTCAAGCTGTTTCTATGACCACTAGTGCCAACCCAGGCTCACAAACCACCTGATTGCCTGACCTGTAGGGAGATGGTGCCTGCTGGACAGCGGCTGCGTCAGCTGGCAGCAGCCGCTGTGGACGCCGTGTCGCCTGATCAGCTGGTGCGCCGCGCCCTGCAGCGGCACGACGACCAGCTGACGGTGGACGGCCGCAGCTACACGCTAAGCCGCAACGTGTACCTGGTGGGCGCGGGAAAGGCAGTGCTGGGCATGGCAGCAGCAGTTGAGCAGCTGCTCCATCCACACCTGGTGCGCGGCCTGCTGAGCGTGCCGGTGGGCGCGCGGCCGGCGCACCTGCTCCCCGGCATCGAGGTGTGCGAGGGCGCCGCCGACAACCAGCCGGACGCGGCGGCGGCGCGCACAGCCGGCCGCATCGCCGAGCTGGCGGCGGAGCTGTCTGCCGGTGACCTGCTGCTGGTGCTGCTGTCGGGCGGCGGCTCGGCACTGCTGCCGGCGCCGCGGCCGCCGCTCACCCTGCCGCTCAAGGCCTGCCTGTCGCGTCAACTGGCGGAGCGCGGCGCCTCCATTCAGGAGCTGAACGCGGCGCGGCGCGGCCTGTCGCGCCTCAAGGGCGGCGGGCTGGCGCGGCTGGCACGGCCCGCGCGCACGCTGGCACTCATCCTCTCAGACGTGGTGGGCGATCCGCTGGATCTGATCGCCAGCGGCCCGACGGTGGCGGTGGCGGGCGCCGCGCCGGCCGCCGCGGCCGTCCTGCGCCGCTACCAGCTGCTGGACGAGCCGCTGGTGCGGGAGGCGCTGCGGGCCGCCGAGGCCGACGAGGCCGACGAGCACGAGCACGAACACGAGCACGAGCGGCCGACCGACGCCGGCACGCACAACGTGCTGGTGGGCTCGAACCGGCTGGCGCTGGAGGCCATGCTGGCCGAGGCGGCCGGCGATCACCAGGCGGCGCTGCTGTCGGCGGCCGTGCAGGGCGACTGCGGCGAGGTGGCCGCGCTGCTGGCTGAGGTGGTTGAGTGGCTGGCGGCCGGGCGGCTGGTGCCGCTGCCTGGCCGGCTGGCGGCGCGACTGCGGGCGGCCGGGCTGCCGCCGGAGCGGCTGGTCGCCCTGCCGCCGCCTGCCGGCCGGCCGCTCTGTCTGCTGCTGGGCGGCGAGACCACGGTGATCGTGCGCGGCGCCGGCCGCGGTGGCCGCAACCAGCAGCTGGCGCTGGCGTTCGCGCTCGAGCTGGAGCGACTGGTGCGCGAGCGGCGCCTGCCGCCGACGGCGCGCGCCGCCCTGCTCTGCTTCGGCACCGACGGCAGGGACGGGCCGACGGACGCGGCCGGCGCCGTGGTCGACCAAGCGGTGGCGGCCGACGCGCGGGCGGCCGGCCTCCGTCCCGAGCAGTACCTCGCCGACAACGACTCGTACGCGTTCTTCGCCCGGTTCCGCAGCGGCGCGCACCACATCCTCGTCGGCCAGACGGGCACCAACGTTATGGACGTGATGGCGCTGGTGGTGGAGCAGCCGCCGCCGAGGGACCGGGCGGCGGGCTAGCCGTCTCCGCCTCGCGCTTGAGCGGTATCAGCGCTGGCTGGGGCGGGGACATGCTCCGTCGTCGGCGCGGGGCCGAGCTTGCCGCTCGGGCCACGTATGTGCCAACTCCAGAACGCCAATGACGCGCGACACGTTCCCGGCGTAGTCACCTGTATCGAACTCAGGCCAGTGGGAAATTGGGTTCCGAGCGGTCTTGAGGGCGGGTTTATGTGATGCGTTATCGTGCGAAAGATGCACAAGGATTAAATCATACAGGTATGGGACGCACTAGCATTCCGATGGTTCAGTTACGCCTTAGGTACGGGAGCGAGGCTTCGTAAAATGTAGTATGCGTTCGTGTGTGTGTGGGGAGGGGGCAGGGGAGCGAGTTTTTGCAAAGCCCGCACGTTTTCGCGCCAAGTGATATCTGGTGATCTGTTGCCGGATGAGGGCTGGGGTCGGTACCGGCGCCGGAGCGAGACTGCAGAGATGGACAGTTCCACCCATGTGCAAGCACACTGCAGAGATCTGATATGTAACCTATAGATTTACACATTTTATATAAAGCAAAGTATATGGCATAAAGGCTAAGCCAATACTGTACTGTGACCCATTCGTTCGGTCCCGCTGTTTTGGTTGGTGGCAGGGGTTCAAAGACCTTGTGGCGGGCAAAACGTGGAAGGCATACATCACAGCTGGGCGTGTTTCAGCTGTCAGCTATTGAGCCCGCTGGAGGGCTGGTTTGCGCCGATGGTCCGGGCGGCGTCGGGAATGCTCACCAGCGGATGGCAGAGCTGCGTAATATAGTTTCGTAATTTTACCGAATTTCTGTTCCACGGATGGGCCGGCGTCATCACACCACAGGTTCACAGCTGCTCCCCCTAGATAGAGAATATGATACATATTCAGTACAAACTATGATCTGATAAATTCGAATCAGGAACCGCTTAATTATCGGCGGCCAAGCAAACCGAATGCTGAAGAAAGCTAACCTCTCATTCGACACATATGGCACGTCCGGAAAACGTGTTGCAAACCCGAAACGATGGATGTGTAGCCATCCATCAGCCGCTGTGCGCGGCGGCCGGATTTTCCAGCCAACTCACGAACCATGACGCTGTTTTATCTTAACCCTCCTAGTGTGCTGGAAGGATGCGCCGACATTTCTTTTCGGTGACGGCGAGAACGATCAGCGAATGTACGGAGTCGTTCATCGAAGGCCTGGCCAGGCGTGAGGCGTTGGGAGCTCTCCGGGGATTCCTTGCTGAGAGCTGGCCCCTCCTGGAGGCGTTCAACCCCTGCTGTGCGCCCCCTCCAGCCCCGCTCCAGCCTTCCCTCCGATCGACCCCTGTTGTGCGCTCGTTCCAGCCCCACTCCGGCCTTTCCTCCGACCAACCCCTGCTGTGCGCTCGTTCCAGCCCCACTCCGGCATTTCCTCCGACCAACCCCTGCTGTGCACTCGTTCCAGCCCCACTCCGGCCTTTCCTCCGACCAACCCCTGCTGTGCGCTCGTTCCAGCCCCACTCCGGCCTTTCCTCCGACCAATCCCTGCTGTGCGCTCGTTCCAGCCCCACTCCGGCCTTTTCTCCGACCGACCAACACACGAGCATTGTTCCAGCACGCCAACGCGTGGCTCCATTGGCCGCCGGAGAAGCGTGGCGGTACTCGGTATCTCGCGGCACAGCTCCATTACCACCAGCCGACCGTATTAACCCCTACCACAATCCAACAGGGCGCCCGCTCTCCTCCGACCCACAAAGCAGTACGAAGAGCGGCGCCGCGTGCACGAAACCGGCCTGGCACGGCCAGTCACCGCGCGCCCCGCCAACAGCCGACCAGGAGTCGATTCTACATTAAAAGCTTAGTCACCGGACTAGCTGGGCGCTCTGCCACACGCTTATAAAGCAGCACATGCATGCGCGGACACTGGCGGGCGTCTGGGGCGCGGTCGCACGACGGAGGTCAGACAGCGGGTGACGCTGGGTGTCGAGGGTGGCCGCGCCGCGCCAGTGCCGCGTGATCACGCCGGTCCGCGGCGCGCCATCATCGCCGCCGACCACCGGCGGCCGGAGCCGCGCCGCCACAGGCGCCCGGCTCGCTCGCGGCCTTCACATCTCACTCGGGGGGCAGTGACGCTCCGATCACAGCGGCCGGCGCCGCGGCGAAGGCAGCGCCGGCGGCGAGCTGACGGCGGCAGGGGCGCGCGGCGCCCGGCCACTCGTCCGCTTGGGGCGGCGTCCGGCGGCGGCGTGCGCCGCACGGCTGGCGTCTACAGCTGGCCAGCCGTTACAAACTCTCGTCGCTCTCCATGGCCTGGATCGGGTGGAACTGCTCCATGGCGTCGGACGCGGCGCTGGCGTCGGCCGGCAGGAACGAAGAGTCGCCGAGCACGCCGCCCTCGCCGCCTGGCGGCAGACGCGGCACCACACAGCGGTCAGCCACGAGCACAGCCGGGTCGCGCAGCACCGCACGCGGACCGGCCGCCTGGCGGCGCGGCCGCCCTACACGCGAGACGCGGCTGTCTGGCAGGGGCCGCTGTGCCGCCCGGACATGGCCTCACAGGGCTGTGCGACACCGACCGCAGAACCTCATTCCACCCGTGGTTGACCTCCGCTCCGACCCGAGCAATGACAGCACTGCGATAGTTCGAAAGACGCTCTGTCGGTGTGGTCATCGTCGTCGTTGGGACTCGACCCACTCGGGAGCTTTCTCAATGCGGGGCCCACTGCCTCCCACCCGGGCAGGAACGGCCGACGCCGCGTTGGATCGCGCCCCGTATCTCTGGTTTCCAAGACACCCAGTGCTGCAACGGTCCTACCGGGAATCTCGACACATTTTGTCCAACACGCACTTCGTGGTCCATGTTAATGACGACAGCACGCGAATCTTCTGACACACACCTGCCAGATGGCCCTGCTCCGCCGCGGCTGTGGCAGGTGGCTGACCTTATTTGACCTCACGCTGACCTGTTTTTCCCTCAGGACCGGAGGCTGATCTGCTTTGACCTCAGAACCGGAGACTGACCTGTTTTGTCCTCAGGACAGAAGGCTGACCTGTTGACATTAGGGGCGGAGGCTGACCTGTGTTGTCCTCAGGACCAGAGGCCGACCTGTTTTGTTTTCAGGACCACAGGCTGACCTGTTTTGACATCAGCGCCGGAGGCTGACCTGTTTTGACATTAGGGTCGGAGGCTGACCTGTCTTGACATTAGGACAGGAGGCTGACCTGTTTTGTCCTCAGGACCACAGGCTGACCTGTTTTGACATTAGGGTCGGAGGCTGACCTGTCTTGACATTAGGACAGGAGGCTGACCCGTTTTTCCCTCAGGACCGGAGGCTGATCTGCTTTGACCTCAGAACCGGAGACTGACCTGTTTTGTCCTCAGGACAGAAGGCTGACCTGTTGACATTAGGGGCGGAGGCTGACCTGTGTTGTCCTCAGGACCAGAGGCTGACCTGTTTTGTTTTCAGGACCACAGGCTGACCTGTTTTGACATCAGCGCCGGAGGCTGACCTGTTTTGACATAAGGGCCGGAGGCTGACCTGTCTTGACATTAGGACAGGGGGCTGACCTGTTTTGTCCTCGTCGGACGGAAGCCTGCTGAGCGCCGGCTCGATGGCCTCCTTCAGCTGATTGTTGGCTCCCTTCGGGTCCAGGTCCATCGCCCAGGAGAAATGCATGCGCGCCAGGTGGGCCTGGCCTAGCTTCTCGTGCACCTGGCGACACACACATATACATATACATATACATACGAACATGTAAACAAATGTATATATATATATATATATACATATATATATATATATACATATATATATATATATATATATATATATATATATATATATATATATATATATATATATATATATGGACTCGGCCGGCCCATCTCGTGACCCACGTATGGAAAAAGGACCTGAGCTTGCTTCGGGCACGTGCTCAGTTTGATCGACCGCTCGGCCCAAGCGCTGCCGACAGCTACTTATGAACAGGCTGGAGTAGACTGCCCCACTCAAATGGACATTTACGACTACACAACAATAAGCAGTGTCGGTAAACACTGGCATATTCACAAATCCACGTTGGTAGCTGCAACGTGTTATAACTTCTGAAAACGGCTCCTGCATGCCGTAACGTGTTCTAGATTTCCCGCCATCTGGCAGTGCTCTCGCGCACGCCTGGCCGCGGGCAGCGGGCGGCTCAGCCGGCCGCTCGGCCCAGCCTGACCTTGCCGGTGAGGAAGAAGACCAGGCTCTCGTTGGGCACCATCTGCTTGAGCTGCTGCAGCTCGTCCAGCGCCTCCTGCAGCCGGTCCGAGCTCAGGAACACCGACGCCCGGTGAAACTTGCACAGCGGGTTGACGGGGTCCAGCGCGATGGCGCGGTTCAGCGTGGCCAGCGCCGCGTCCGTCTTCTGCAGGTTGTGCTGGACCTGACGGCGGGGAGGCTCGGTGAGGGGTGGGTCAGGTCACAGGGGTCACGAGGGGTCATTTGCGTGCACGTCCGCCCCAGCCGGACCAACTCCCATTGAAGACTCCGGTACATTCCGACCCTGCATCAAGCGGCGCGACGCGATGCTGGACCAACGCCAACGCTGACTCACGGAGATGTTGCTCGATCCCCGAACCCATTCTGAATGAACGGACTACAATGGCCACGTTTTGAGCTTCACATACTCCTCAATATGACCCTTTCTAAATTTCGTTTTTTACAATTTTTAATTCAAATTTCCTTTTTTACCCACCTTTTAAAAATAAGTGGGCAATATGTTGAACATCCATTTACCGCTCGTTCAAGTATTGTGAACCTCCCCATTGTCACCCTTCGCAAGACCAACTGGCCGTCCTTGCGGCTCGCCGGCCGGTCAGCGGCCAGCGGACCAGCTGGGAGCCGCCGCTGCCCACACTTGCACGGGGCTCCACTGCGCAGTCATGCCGGGCAGCAGTGTTGACCAAATGACGAACCCGGCGCACCAACACTTTCGACAGACGCAATGGCACTCGGCTACATGTAAATTCGGTGGATTTCAGACAGCTCTCGGTTCCGCCCGAGTCATTCACTAGTCTGACCCGTGCGGAAAGAGGCATGCCGCGGCCAGCACGTACACGAACGAAGCGGCAACATACTGACACCCATCTGGCAGCGTACGGCCGGGTCAGAAGCGCGGAAGCTCCGCCAGCAGCACCTGACCGCCGCGCCACGCCGGCTCGGACCGCCGCCGACCCGCTGACAGCATGCACAGCACAGCCCGTCGGCCGGCGCCAGCTTACCACGCCCACGTGGCACATCAGGACCGAACTCTGCGGGTTGATAGCCAGCGCGCTCTTGAAGTACATCTCCGCCATGGTGTAGCGCTCCTGCTTGTAGAAGATCATGCCGATGCCGTACCTGCGGGCCGACAACGGAATACGTCACAGACGAAGGGAGTTCTTCACCGCGGGCGGGTGCTTTCGGGTGAGCTGGTGAGAAGCCCGACAGTGCCGAATAACGCTCCGAATTCCACAGATCAAGTTGATGTTACTTGTCATTTATGGGTCGCCGTACTAGGGCTACAACCAACCCCGGGCCTCCAGGGATATTGCTGTCATCAGATGACATACGCACTGGCCGAAGTTCCGTGAGATTATGCATTAGTCCTGTTAGAGTAAAAGATCCTTCCTACATTTGCCAAATCCTTTTAACGAACCACAATTAAGGGCACCGGTCCGCCGTTCGACCTCTCCCTTCACGTCAGCGAAACCTCCGCCGCGAGCATCAGCCCGCCGGAAGCTCGCGACAGGTCCTGCTGGTGGGGCGGGGCCGAGCGCGTGCCGGCGGGCTCTCACCAGGCGTTGTAGTGGCGCGGGTCGATGCTGACCGCGCGTCGGAAGCAGGCCAGCGCCTTGTCCAGCTCCTCGGTCAGCACGTACTCGTGGCCCAGCAGCGTGTGGCCGTAGGCAAACTGGGGCGTCACCTGACGGCACACGGAGGGAGTGGCGCTGTACTCCCCCGGCGCAGACAGCACAAGGAGGGAGCGGCGCTGTGCTCCCCGGGCGCAGACAGCACGAGGAGGGAGCGGCGCTATACTCCCCAGGGTGCAGACGGCACACGGAGGGAGCGGCGCTGTACTCCCCGGGCGCAGACAGCACGAGGAGGGAGCGGCGCTGTACTCCCCGGGGTGCAGACGGCACACGGAGGGAGCGGCGCCGTACTCCCCGGGGTGCAGATAGTACGCGGAGGGAGCGGCGCTGCACTCCCCGCGGTGCTGACAGCACACGGAGGGAGCGGCGCTGCACTCCCCGCGGTGCTGACAGCACACGGAGGGTGCGGCGCTGTACTCCCCGGGGTGCAGACGGCACACGGAGGGAGCAGCGCTGTGGTCCCCAGGCTGCTGACAGCGGCACACAGCGGCGCAGCGGCGGTGAGCGTGGAGCGTTACGGCAAGGTGGCGCGGGCTGGCAGGGGCAGCGGTGCCGTCAGGTCTGAGTTGGTGCGCCCAGCGGGGTCATGACGAGGTCACCAAGCTGGTGCAGGAAGCGGTGCTGTGGCGCAGCATGATGAAGAAACGCATCCGCTAGCCATCAAATCTGATGAAGCCTCCGAATAAAAACAGGGCCCCGACCGGTGCGACAAACCTCGACTACGGCGCCACGGCGAAGGCATGAGCGAGCTGCGGATTGGCCCGCCGCGGCAGTGGACCGGCTACGTGCTACAACGCTGCGGCCAAGCCTTCATCGATGCCATCAACGAGAACTCCGCGCAGCAAAGCAGTCTGCAACCTTGATCCGTGCCGTATGTCCAAATTGTCACGTTCTGGTGTCGGCAGTGCTGGCGTGCGTCTTTTAAATAGGGAAGGGTGTTTTCGTCAAATATAAGTGTTAATGACATGTGCCACGCGCATGCGACTTATGGTGCGGTTGGCGTAACCCATAATTCGGAAGTTACATGAAGGACTGATTTACAAAAAAAGAAGTAAAAACCAACAGTGGACAATGCTTAAACTCCAAGTCCGGAGGTCCTGGACGCTGCCAGGTCAGTTTAATGAGAGAACGCCCGAGACAGACAATCCGTACAGTCCTTAATAGTCAGCATCTGGTACAACTCTAGGTTTTTCGGGTGTTGGGCGTTAAATACTGTCGATGCGATTTTAGCTGTGCATATGCACTGCCGGTGCCTTTGCGTTCAACAAACGTTAAACTGATAGCTGCACAAAAGGATCATCTGCTCCCCAGTCTGTGACCATTTGCCTGCTCTTTACTGAAGTAAGTGACGATATACATCGTTGAAGTAACAAGCAGTTGAGTGTTAACCAAAAACGGTAGCTTAGCGTGATCCGGATCCGCCAGAGGTGTCGCGTCGCATTCCCGGCGGCGGTCTCCGCTGACACCACGCGGACAACACTACCGGACCTATTCGCGGCTGCAGCCTACAGAGTCATGACGCCGGCAACTTTTTAGGAACATCAGGCTATTTGGTGTTTTGACCATATACGGTAATGCCAAAGCGGTTTGAAGCAAAGTGGGATTTAACAAGCCTGCGCCCCTGGTCAATACGCTGTGTTCCGGTGTGCGCGGCCGAGCGCACCGAAAGCCCTGCGCTCTTCTCTCTCCTTCTCCGCCTACCTGGACGGCGCGCGTGAAGAACCGAATAGCCGTCTCGTGCTCCTTCTGCAGGGAGAAGCAGTTGCCTGCGGCGCACCACACCTCCGCCGACTGTCGGTCGTGGTCCATCAGATCCTGCGGCGGCGCCAGCACAGCACAGTCAGCACACAGTCGGCGGTCCATCACGTCCTCCTGCGGCGCCAGCGCACAGACAGCGACCAATCAGATCCTGCGGCAACGCCGTACAGTCCGCACACGACCAGCGGTCACCAGCACTGCTCACAGCCTGCGGCGGAAGCTGCGGGCAACGGCGGCCCCGGAGGCCTCCCGGGCCGCCGCCATACCTGGGCCAGAGCGGACAGCTCCACCTCGCGCTGTAGGTGCCACAGCGCCGTGCTGTAGTACTCCATCATCTCGAGCCGGTACGGCTCACGATCGCGCACCATCTGGAAGAACCTGCCCGCAGGGGAGGGGGTTACAACGGCCCGGACACGAGCGATAGAAATGTGAGTCTGCCAACCAAGCAGCACAACTAACACACGAACCGTGACAGCGTCAGCTGTCCTCGGCCCCCAAACAAGCGCAACAGCTAGGTGTTCAGCCCAGCACGTGATCCAGACCGCTGACGCGGCGCATGACTGACGCCGTCCGCCCCAACGGCGCACCTGATGGCCTGCTTGTAGTTGTTGAGCTCGAAGTAGGCCTTGCCGAGCATGGAGAGCACCCAGCCGGTGTTGTACTGGTGGCTGGGCAGCGCCGACAGCTGCTCTATGGCTCGGCGGCTGCCGAACTGGCTCAGCTGCTGGTACGCCGCGCCCACGTCACGCAGAAGGTGCATCAGCCCCTCTGCCGACGGCACGGACGAGGCGTCACGTGAGGCGAGCGGCGCACAGCGTCGCAGACGCCACACCGAGCTGTACAGCGGTGTATCAGGCCTCAGAATACAGAGGAATGGATGGGGACATCGGACCCTACACCGGCCAGGCCGCATGCGACACAATGGCCGGTGGTGGGCGCGTCATATCCTCCTGGAGCCTCGGGAACGGACGTGAGTTACACAGCATATAACTCAGGGCATCCATAGCCTGGGGAATATAATTTCACTTACCGTTGGCTCGCGAGATCTACGAGAAACGGGCGCCTGCTGACTAGTGAGCTACAACAGGGCATAAGCAGTTCGATTCGAATGCAGGTTCCGTAAGCGATCACTGGACGAGCTCACGCCCGGCTCTGGTGGAGCCACCTGACGGCCTGATCAGCACACAAAAGACGCACGGCCCGTCGTCCGGGCATTCTCGTCATCGCCGTCAGGGACTTACAGCACACTCAGCTGATGAGGGTATGTGACATCGCTTACCTCTCAACCTGGCAGGAAAGGCGGGCGCCGCGGGGGACCAAACCCCGTGCCTCTGTTTTCCAGACGCGCAGTTTAGCCATTACACTACCAGTACCAGCTGCTGGGCGTCCTCAAAACGGACGAGGCGTCTGCCTCTCCACCCCTCATTCCATCAGACCAGACCCACAGTCGACGGCCGTCATCCCACCAGACCACACCGGCAGCTGACGGCCGTCATCCCACCAGACCACACCGGCAGCTGACGGCCGTCATCCCACCAGACCACACAAGTAGCCGACGGCCGTCATTCCACCAGACCACACCAGCAGCCGACGGCCGTCATCCCACCAGACCACACCAGCAGCCGACGGCCGTCATCACACCAGACCACACCGGCAGCCGACGGCCGTCATCACACCAGACCACACCGGCAGCTGACGGCTCCCGGGCCCGCCACTGTCCGACCATCAGTCGGGGTCTGCCCGACCGCGTCCCGCCGCCGGCACCGGGGCCCACCTGCCGAGCACTTCTGAATGCTGAGCGCGGTGGCCTGGAGCTGCGGCGCCGTCAGCGGCTTGGTGTCGGCCGCGCTGGTGATGGTCTCGCTGCCCCGGCCGCGCGCCTCCGCCCGCAGCTTGTCACTCTTGTTCTTCTCGTTCAGCTCGTTGAAGTTGGGCGTGGAGAGCGCCGTCTTCGAGGAGCGCGTCTTGATCTTGCGCGACGGCGACTTGGGCGGCACCAGCCGGTTGGACTTGTTGTTCTCCTTGACAGAGCTGCCGCTGAGGCCGAACATGCTGCGGTCCTTCCGGTTCAGCACCTGGGGTCATCATTCCGGTCAGGGCCCGCGGCGGGAGGCCGACGGGTCAAGCGCGGCACGGCCCAGCAAAGCTATGTCGACGTCACGCTTTCGCCGCCGCGGCGAGCCAAACGCATGCCACGCGACAACACAAAGTGACATCCGGCTCAAAGAGACGGCACAGGCCTGCCAGACGGAGCACAGAAACCCCGAGCTGAGTCAAGTCATAAATGCAGCTAACGGTAACATAGCATGCAGCAGTAATCAACAACTTATGTTCTCAACGTAAACAGCTTCTTTTGTTCAGGCGACGCAATGGCGCAACGACGGAAAGTCAGTGACAACACAAGGTGCAGAATATCGGGTGTTATGTGGACCCACAAAACACAGTAAACAGACACCACAAGTGTACAAAGAAAACATGGCCTCACACCTGTCACATCACACCATACACTATCAAAGGAGCTACAAACCCCCACATCTTACGAAAAGCAAACTTCTGGTACTTGGGTTTCAGTATGCCCGACACACGCCACGTATTGAACACAGGGCGGCTCTGTGGGTACATGCACGGCGCGGGCCCTATTGTGTTTGCTCACAAGCCGGCCCGCGTCAAGAAAGTAACACGCTCCTACAGCCTGCCGCTCACGTACAGTCACGAGCGGAGCCAGAGCGGCACAGCCCTGGCCACGACTGAGGCCACATTACCCCACCCCACGCGGTCCACAGTCAACTGAGCCTGCATCTGTCTCATCTGCACCACATGCCACCAGCCACAGGTCGTTAACTCAAAACATCTAAGGCACCTCTACCAGGTAGTTGCATGCTGAAGCTTATTCCAAACAGCATGGTAAAGCACGGGCGCACAGAACTGAGCCACGTAACTATGGACAGCTTATAAAAGTGTGACGGTCAGGGGGCACATACAGGAAAGCTCGCGATGGCGGGAATGAAGTGGCAACACCAGGCGCAAAAGACATGGTGCAGTGTGTAACCATAAAACGGCATAAATTTATGATCAAAACAATCAATATACGTCAGTTCGCTAGCTGACACAGCACACGCATTTACCGTATTGCAACATTTTCAGCACACAAAATATGGCTACTGCCAAGATCGTCCAAAACAAACTGAACAAAGCCACAGCAGACCGAGAAGCGGTTCGACCCAGACCCTGTGACCGGGAGCGGGCTCGTGGCGGTGACCGCGCCCGTCCAGCAGCGGCCGGGGCGGGGCGCTCTCACCCGCCGTCCGAACGCCTTGGGCTCGGTCTCGGCGTTGTTGGTGAGCGCCGGCGACGAGCTGAGCAGGCCCAGCGGCAGCGTCGGCTCGCCTGGACTCGGCGTCTCGATCGGCAGGAAGCCGAAGCTGCAGCGGCCCCGGCCACGTCAGCCACGCACACGCACACGAGCGCGCGCGCACACGCACGCTGATCCACCAGCGAACAGTGCTCAGCATCACGCGTGCCATCGGGCGTTTTGAACACGGCCTTACAGAGGCTAATGGATAAAAACAGCACGCGCGCCATGAGCTTTGCGGCAACAAACCATATATATCTAGTTCTGCGAATCTAGTACTGCGAGCCAGTGGTATCATGTATCTATGGAATAACTGTCCATACCTACACAATTCAGCAGAAAAACGCCCAACGTTAGACAGTGCCCTGCTGTGCACAGCCCCGCATGGACGACTTTTATTAGACCGATACAGCCACATCTCTGTCGCAGTCGCACACAGCATGCCTCCAGTGTGCTGAGTGCGCGGCCGAGGCCGAGCCGGGGCCCGGGCTCGGGCCGGGGCGGGGGCGGCTCACCTGGGCGTGCACGGCGACGAGCCGAGCGTGGAGTTCAGCTGAGAGCGGAACAGGGCCTGCTTTGAGCGCGGCGCGTCGTTCTCCGAGTCGGGCGTCGGCTTGGAGACGGACAGGCCACACGAGGGGATGAGCGCGGCGCCACTCAGCGCGTTCACTGGCGTCTGGAACGGCGTGCTGCCGGCGGCGCATACCATTACACGTCAGACGGCGCGGACGACGGTGGGGAGCAGCGGCTGCGGCCGCCGCCGGGGCCGGCCGGCTCCGGCCGGCGGCAGACCAACTGAACACGACCGGAGAGGACTTGGCACATAGACCGGCACCAGGAGGAGGAAAGACGACACGTCACACTTGGCTACTGTCACATGTACCGCCGCGTTGCTACGGCGCACGTTCACAATGGACGCTGTAACACCCGAGCCTCGGTGCCTAGGACACAATCACGGCCAGCACCCATACCAGTCGCGGTGAGAAGCGGTCGCACGCCGGCGAGCACGCCCCGCCCGCCGGCGCTCCAGGGGCCGGTCGCACCTGGTGATGTTGATGTTGGCCACGTTGGCGACGGTGTGCGGCGGCTGCGGGCCGTCCGTCTGGCCCAGCGTCGGCCAGGCGACCCCGTGGCCCTGGCACATGGCGAAGCTCTCCAGTCCGGACGTCGTGAACACCTTGCTGCTGTCGACCGCCTCGCCCAGGTGACACAGGTCGGTGAACGCGCTCCACAGGAACGGGTTGAGCTTGAGGGACTTCTTGCAGGCCTCGGCTGCGCGCGCCTTGCGCTCCGTGCGCAGGTAGATGCGCGCCAGCAGCCGCAGCGCCAGACTGGCCGACTCGCCGAACTCGCTGGTCACGTCGTCGTGACCCTTCGGCTTGAGCATGCTGCCGCCGCTGAGGATGGCCTCGGCCTCGGCCAGCTGGTTCAGCTCGTAGCAGCACAGCGCCAGCAGGTAGCGCGCCTGTGGCAGGCGCAGGTGGCGTGCCTTGAGGCGCGTGTACGCCTGGCCCGGCCGGCCAGAGCGGTAGTAGCAGGTGGCCAGCAGGAACAGCGCCTCGTCCGATTGCACTGTTGGAGGAAGGGGCAGTGGGTCAGCTGGGCATGACTGCAACAGACCATGGCAACAGTAGGGCAGTTGCTGAGCCAAGGCTGACACCACAGTGGAATATTACCAATCAAAACATGAGGCATGGGTCCAATAGGGGTACAGCTAACCAAGTGACACATGACTGAAGCATCACTATGGTACAACTGAGTAGCTGCAAGAGTTGGTTCTCTCTGCACTCTTATGTCATCCTTTCAGGAGATGGCATAGAACACAATTTTTTGGGTTTCATCTAGGGTGCTTGAAAAACTGTTTGCAGCCCACCCCAGTGGTGGGTAACACACACAGGGAAGAGCAATGATTTATGGGTAATACCCTCTATCTCTCTCACAATACAACATATGATGCAGTCAACAACATCTGATGGCACCCTTACCTTCCGCACACAGGCGTTCTGCCAGAAATGTAGCATCGGCATATGCATAATGATTCAGGCAGTGCCAGACAGCAGCCTGGAACAAAAATATCAACATTGTGTTATGAACAACAACATTGTGTTATGAACAAGCGGCAACAACATGCTCAGGTTTTCAGTGATTCACTGACTGCACTTGCCAACAAGTGTTATTGCAGTGAGTAAATAAGGTAGAAAACATGCTTCAGATGCATCATAAAACAGTGCAATACTTCAACGCTTGTCAAATAGAACCAGTACAGAGCATGAGTTTCAGGTTCCATACATTCCTTGTAGTGAAAGACAGTGCAACATATGTGGGAGTATGTTTTAGTGACCATCATAACATACCACCCATAACAGGCCATACACATTCCATGATATTATTCATTGCTACATTGTTAAAAGGAATGAGCCAGGTATCCAACATACTTTGTTCTTTGCTGCTACTGCTGCCACACACCCATGCTCTTGGTCATGAGCTAGCACATATCAGCAGCATAAAAACAGCCTAGAACACCACTCTATTTAATGTCACTACATTTATCAACATTCCAATCAAACCACTGCACAAACTGCTCACCAGTTGACCAGAAGCATCATCCATAATCATGATGTAATCATACTGAAACATTCCTGGTCAACAGTGAGGTAAACTGAGCACAGATGGTTTGGCAACCTTGGACCTCCCATCATGTCATGGGTTCTGTCAATCCAGCTATAACCTGTAACTGAGAAGGCTACAAAGTAGCATACCATGTATAATAGAAATATAATGTCCCATTCAACTATAGTTATTTATAGAATTCTAATAAATATATATATCCAATCACTTATAATCAGGATTGACCCAGTTCTGGATGTGCATTGTTACTACCATTTCTTGATTCAAGTTCATACCAGGTATTGTGAAATCACATTTATCCAGATCACACTCTTTAGCCATGCAGAGAACAAATATGGCATGGCAATACCCCTTCAATAAACATAATTACAAACCTTCAAGACATATTTGAGTTTAATTTTAGGTCTCACAGAGAGAAAATGCTGTGCAGGCCTTATCCACAAAATATGCCACTTCACATAAAGGGTTATCCCATCCATGTGTGTGCATAAGGTTCCATATCCAGAAACTGTCTTGGTTTCAAACATAGCCATCTCTCAACTTGTGCCTAGGTATAACATGGGGACTGCTACAGGTTATAGGTCATCAATTGGTTTTGAATGATATTCAGAAGCATTTCTTCAGCATAAAGTTGACACATATGTGGAGCATCTTGCCTCATCACATTACAATGGCACATATCCTGTTCAGACTTAAGTAGACTTTTGGAAGTCATTCACAATATACTGATCAAATTTATAGAATACTAATAATGCTCCAGTATTTTATCTATACACAATTGTCCTTACTTTCTATAATTTCTGAGTCAAAGGATCTATGCTGAAATAATAGCATGGTGTTTAAGCCATCAATATTGCAGCCATCAAGAGGAAACAGGGGCATCTCAAAATTCACAACACTTTAGGAGCTCACAAGCCATTTGAGTTTTGAATAAAACAGAGTAGTTTCCAGGAACACTGTAAATTTTACAGCATTTTTTCCATTTAGATGGCAAATTTTTAGAGAAACACACCCTGCCTGCCTCAGCCAAATGTTTTATTACATAACTTTGCCATTTAACATTGGCTTGTCTTTTCATTGTGGTTTCTTTGTTTCTCACCCATTCTTCATCTGACCCAGAATGCCTACTGCAGCCATGTGCCATACAGGCACAATACCTTCAACATGGACACACGTTTTCACTTAAGTCTCAGTGTGTGGTGCCCCTCTCTCAAATAGATAAATCATATATTTTTGTTGCAACAAGTTCTAGAATATTTTGCCAAGTATCAATACAGAGAAGAAAATGGGCTGGAACCATTACATGTTTTCAATATTCATCAATACTCCCATACTCCAAAAAGGACCTTAACACAGCAGAACAAATGAATTGGTTCATAAATTGGGGCTAGGTGGCAAAAACATAGAAACAATTGTTTTTAGATAGGAGAACCATCAGTTGGCATGCCAAGATACGCAAGTGGGCGCGCAACTCACCTGGACAGGCTCCTGCACAATCATTTTCTCTTCCAAGGTAGAAAAACTTATCGTGTCACGTATCTTGCTATTATATTCCTAACTAATCTCATCTACACTTATCGCCACTCATTTCCCTAATGTGCTGATGAACTGAGAAAGCCACAATACAGCTCGCATGAGCTACTTTCTAGTGTACCCGCACTATGCGTACCAGCAAGGCTCATAAAATGTTCCTAGAGCCCGAACAAATCATGAAAATCATCCGCAACCTAATTCCCAAGGAGGGTACGTGCCCATCCCTCGACGTCCAGCAGTGAGAAACAAGCCCAGCCGTCCAACAATGCAAGGTTAGCTTTAAAATATGTGATTCGAATTGCTCTCGGTAGAACCTACACCGAATTCAATGGATGTCTTTCCGACCAATCCTGAGAGGAAATGGGCCCAGAATTATCTGAAAAACGGTAGAGATGGTCATTCACAATTTCATTGGAACCGATTTCTCTTCGTGGTGCCTTTTAACGCTTTTAACTGTCCCAGGCGTCTTTCAGCCGATGTGATATGACGATTAGTTGATATCCGAGCAGGCAAGCGTTTGAACGCAGTTTGTGAAATCTGAGCCAAGTAGAACAGTGGCCTGTGGCAACGACGTCAACAGGCAACAGCCAATGGTTGGGAGGACGAACAGCTGTGAGATGGCGAAATAAGCGGTTTAAACCTATTACCTCGGATGGGGGTGTAGTCTCCTTTTTATAATTCAGTGCATTGATATGAATGTAGCCAGATTTGCGCGTAAGGACACCCGCTTGCGTATTCTGACATCGTTTCTTGAACACTGACTCCGAAACCGGACTCCAGTGTATTTGCAGAATAGATCTTCCGAAGAAAGGTCTTTGGAACGTATATTTTTTGAGCGAAGATACTCCGAGAGTCGGTCTTACAGACATGAGCCAACTTGGAGCGAAGGTCTCCCAAGCGTAAGCCTTCAGGGGGCAGGTCTTTCGGGCGTGGGCCTTCCGAGTGATCAGGTCTGTCGGGAGTGGGTCCTCCGAATCTAGGTCTTCCCAGTGCAGACCCTCCGAACGTAGGCATTCCATGCTGCAGGCCTTCCAGACCTTCCTCCGGGCTGATCCCGATGGAGCTCAGTGGACATTTATCATGAACCCATATGGCACTGCTCGTGGTGCGACAGTAAAAAACCGGGCATACTGGTTGACAGGCCCTCCTTTCTTACTTTCGCACCCCACCCGTCCACCCCGGGGTAGGAGTGAAAATGCCCCCCCCCCCCCCCCGGCTCCTGCGAAGCGCTCCGGTAGGTACTATTATTTGAGAGGATTCTGCACACCTATGGGTCAGTTAATTCCAAGATGACGACTGAGAGCAGATATCACGCCCACTCCCAGCCAAGCCGAGGGGGGGGGGGGGAGGCACGAGACCAGGACCCCTTTCTGTACCACAGGTTTGCAGTGTATGCTGGGTGGTTTCGCAAGAATTCAGTTCTCATTTGCAGGGGTCTGGAGAAAATTTGAATTGTAACAAGAATCCATCGAGCAAAGCCCTGGTTACGTTCCTGCTCCCACACCCTCCGCGCGCTCACCATGAAAATCGCGCCGTACTGGCAAGCGCAGACGCGCGCGTGAGACGATACCATGCCGACGCGGGCACCCAATGTACTTTTTGTGCCCGTGATAAGGGAGTGAATTTGGCGAAGTAAGTCGCGAAGTGTGAGCAAGGAAAAGGAGTGACTAAACCCATTCCCGAAAACGCCGCAACACGATTCCGTTCTGATATGGCCCACTTTCATCGCAAAGTTGTTGGGGGGGGGGGGGGGAGGGGGCTGGAGGCACGCCAGTTGAATAAGAATTGCATCCACTTCCCATGGTTCGTAGTCCGTGAACCACACTTTTCCCCCCAAGAATGACTTAAGTAAAGGCTTCAGTAAAGAAAGACTTAAGTAAAGGCAGAAGTAAAGTTTCAAAATGCACGGTGCCGCAAGTACCCGCCCGCTGCAAACTTGAGATTAAATTTCCATCTCTTAGATGCTAAAACGGATGGCTCATTTTGTCGCCCAGCATGTAAATATAAGCCTTATCTTACTTTGGTTTACAAACATTTGCTGTTACAACACATCGTTGGACGCGTAAAATGGGTCAGCTGTTTTTCATGATGAACTTCTGTTCGAGCGTAGTACTGGGCAGCATCTCAATAGGGAATGTTTCATATGTAAAAATATTGAACCAAATATCAGTTTCATGAAAAAAGGTCACTTATAGCTAGTGGTAAACGTTATTTGAAGACTGTTCTAGACATCAAAATTTACATGCGTAGTACACGTGCTCTTCATGCGTCATTGTTTGATGATGCCATCATGTCTTGCAAAACACCGACTCAGAACCAAACGGTAGCCGTTTCTTTTGGAAATCGTGCTCACGAACGCCAGATATGGACGAACTGACAACTAGGTTTTTCCTGGTCTTGGCCGCCGCGCAGCCAATCAAATGACAATATTTGAATAACGATGCTATGGCAGCATGGGTGTCCGAGTGACCCTGAAATATCCTCTCCGAAATAATCAGCGCACCTTCGCGGGCGTGCAGCTCAGAACTAATGGGGTTTGGGTATGACGTCAGGGCCGCAAACTGCACCGAATGAACTTCAAGATGCCTTTTTCAGGTCCAAACCCCCATGCAAATGTGGAACACCCCCCTCACATAAGTGCTATTTTTTTCGACAACGTTTGGAACTGTCTACGTCCTGACGCCATAGTTTGGCAAGTTCTCAAATTTCGTGAGTAGTTACATGGCTCCAATGTTGCTAAGACTCGGTGTTCAAGGAAGTAATACTGAAACAACAAATAAGAAAACGATGATGAGTTTTGGCGCCTAAGCAGAGAAGGCCTGCACAGGTTTTTGAAACAGGAGCTCGTCCAAAAATAGAGCGATCACGAACATTATAAGTACTGAGTACCCGACGCAACCCCCCACCGATGAGCTGTGACGGCTGGGCGCAGCCCGTGGCAGGAGGCACAAGTGCGGGAGGAGCTGTCCCACACCGGACGCGAAGTCATTACAGAATTCACTCCGACAAAACGATAGAAATCCGCTTTTACGACAGCTGACTCCGTGTTAGTTTCGCCTGCGAGCAGACATCACCACGACACATGTTGGCGATGCTTCACGTCACGTTTCGCGAAGCACATACGCGGCGCACAACCCAAGATATCGGACCAAGGCAATGGTTTGGAGCTCTCACACGGCTTACAAAACACACGTGAATAGGAGCCGCATTCGCCAGGCAAATTGCAGTCGGTGGCAGTAGGACCGGTCCAATTTAAGACGATATTGACATGAAACAATTTGAGGTACAAAAAAGCGTCTCGCTCTAGGTTTACGTTAAAAGGCTCCATCGGCTATCAAATTAACGCTTTATGTGAATTAAAAGCACCGCAGGTTAACAGAAGCATTTCATATCAACACGCATGTAAATATCCCGATTTAACCGGTCCAACAGCAGATCAAGTTCTGGAAAATTTCGGTGTGGACCAACATATTGAGGAATACATATAATCACCAGCTAAATAGCCGTACACTTCGCGGGGCATGGGATGAAACGATAAACACACAGGCACACAGCTTCGCACGCAAAGTAGGTACGCCAGAGGTTCTCGTGTGCTTTATTTGAGATAAAATGTCTATCCAGCAGTTTGTCCTGTGTCCATCATAAAGTTTCCGGTCAGCATTCTGATACAAAAGTTGAAGGAAAGACAACGAAAAGAACACCGATTTCCATAACCCGTTGCGAACCGCCGAGTACCGAACGATGTCACAGTCGTTCTGTTAGCCAAAAGCGCACCATCCGCACCAATAACCTATAACAGCCCGACCCCTTCACTTGCGGACGTGTGACGAGCCACGCCGGTTCCCGCCGGTTCCCCACAGTCTGCCCGACGCCGCCGATGCGCGCGCTCGGGCCGTCCGCGAGTCGGCGGGTGGCGCTGGGCTGGCGCCGGCGGCGGGCGGGCCGGCACCCGCGCGGCGCGCAGCGGCCCCCGCGAGCCGGCCGCCATCATTGGCTGATGTCCAGCTCGTCCAAATCCTCGTCCAGACCGTCCAGCTCGGCGTCGTCGGCGTCGAACAGGTTCTCGTCGATGGGCACCGCGTCAGCGCCGCCCACCGCGCCCGCCTCGGCTGGAAACGACGGCGAAGCGAATCATCACTGCCCCGCCAACGAGGCCGCATAGAGCTCCCGCACACGACAGGCGACGGGCGAGGCGCCACTGCTGGAGGCGATGATGAAGAGCTACGACACTGCCAGAGAGGACGAAGTCGCATAGCACTGCTGAAAACGGCGAAGCTGAGCAGCGCAGTTCGATGCATAACATCACTGTTAGCATTGAGAAACGACAGCGAAGGCGCGCACAGAGGGGAAAGGGAGGGTGCACAGAAGTGGCGTGGCGAAGTGACGCAGTACTGCTGTCTGCGAGGAACCGTCAGCCAACTGGTAGATCACTGCTCGAAAATACAGCGAGAAACTGCAGCGCTGCGGAAATGCAAAACATAAGCACTGCCAATCTCCGAGCGATCATGGGAAACACCTCCCATGAGAACCACGGACGTAAAATAATTATGGCAGACACAAAGCTGACAATGCATGCCGTTAATCATGTCTTAGGTGTTCCAGATAAGTCAAAGTGAACAAGCCCTCGGCCTCAGGTTATGCACGGGCCACAAGGGGTTTCTTCCCCGCACACACACTTCACAATGCACGCAAACTCACTCGATGCGACATCACTTGTCACTGATGTTCAAAGGATGGCACATCCATGCCAAACATACCCCGGAAATAAATAAAAAGAAATCATATCCTTTACACAAGTTCATGCTGTCATGGCGTCAAAGCCGCCAGCACACCTAGCCGAAGGAATGAAACCAAAAGCCAGAATCCTGCCATTGTGTTTAGCCTTCGCTTCTGACGTGGTTTGATCCAATACAATTGTCTGGCCTCGGGACAATCTCGGTTAGTGGGAAGAAGCCGGATCTAGAAGGTGTTTAATTCAGAATTTGAAGATCTGGCAAAACTGCACATGCTCTCCTACAGGCGTGCCACGCCAACGCAGACGGGCGTCTCCATGGTGATCGGTGCACCGATACCGCACGGGTTCCTCGTTCTCACATTTGTTAAACCCGCCTTGCCGTCGGTTTCGTAAGGCAAAAATCCTATTAATACACCACGTTTTCAGAGGTACTAACTGCGGAAGCCGCCTGTACATGTATGACAGGGCTGTAGCCGGAGGGGCAGGCTAGTTTGGCCAAAGCTGACTGCACGCAGCTCTGTTAAAAGATGGTCCAATGAGCCAGGTCACTTTTCACCCTGCAGCTGTTTTGCCTTCGCGTGCAACGTTTGTGTCTGCATAGGTTTTGCCATTGCATTTTTAACACGCGGTGTCCGTTTTAACTAATTAGTGTTTTGTCTAAGCCATACCGTTTGTATCAGCCGGATGGGTTTTAATGTACAGGGTCTCATATGATTTGCTCGGAAGATGTTTGAATGGGACGTGCATTTGCCGAATGCCAACGACAAGTAATGCTGAAGTGAGTGAGTTTTCGCACGTTTCAAAATGGGTTTTGGGGGAAAGACAAACACCTTACCACGAGTGGATGGTCTGGGGCAGGAAGCTTGCTGTCCCTAAGACCTGTTTTAAATGTCTTAAGTATAACTATTAGTATGTGCATGATCACTCTGTCCCCATCGCAACTGTTGTCTTTTTCCCGTGCCAGCAACAAAGCCAGCCGAAGGGTCTGAACGTGTGCGTTACACCCCAAGGGCTGTTGTAACACCTTGACAAGCGGCCGAGACAATTACAGGTGAATGGTGTACCTGCTTTGGCCGCCGCCTCCTTGGCCTTCACTGCTTCAGCCTCGCTGATCTGTTCATTTTCAATCCCCTCCAACGTCCATGTCTTGTACTGGAAGTAATGACAGCGTGTAAAATTGTACCCGTCCGTCAAATTATACACCAATTAATAAACATCAGGCCTGGCAGTGCGAGCTAATGCAGCACAATACCGCCAAGCTTCACATCACAGGCCGATCATAATGATGACCACGATCATGTTGAAGTTCGGACCATGCATTAACATTTTTTTGACCGGACCATTTTTTGGACCATTTTCAGAACACAACTGGCGGAACGCGTGCCAAAAAAACATCGAAACAGATGCAAAATTTGTGAGAAATCCGCAAAACGTTGTGTCCAGTTGGTACTGGGGTGTCGAGAGATGGTGTTTAGATTAGTATACCAACACCTACGATTGTTTCGGTCATAAAATCGAAATCCCTTACGGCGAATACAGCTGGGGTACAGCAACAAAGTTGGCAGTAGGTCTCAAACCCACATTCCGGCGGTAATAAGTCAACTGTGTTTAGTTTGAGCTGCCATATTCCCTGAGCTCCTGGTTGAGCAGGAGTCCTTACCACGACACTCTCCTCCCCTTCCTCCTCGCCCTCCTCGTTCTTCAGCTCCGTTAGGTCCATGCCTTCGTCGCCCTCTTCCATTTCTCCGTCACCCAGGTCCGGATTATACATAAACATGTCTCTGCCAGACAGCTGGAAAGCAAATGTGCATTGGCAGGATATTTTTCGAGATCAAAGCCCCAAGCGAATTCAAGCCTGGTAAGCAATGGAACAAACATGACCGGAGCTCGTGAAAGCAAAATCCACGCTTGAGGCACTTCGTAAAAAGAAAAATAATGCGCTCCATTTCAAACTTCAGGATAAGCAGAAATATTGAGCACTTATGGCGAAATGTGAATACCCATAGCTTGAGGCGATTGCGTCGATAACACGATGCAGTCGTTCACACAGGGAGATGAAAAGTGGAAAAAGACAATAACAATTGAAATATGAGATGATCACGATGACCGTGAGGCAAAATAGAAACCAGGCATGCCAATACCCCAGTTGAACAATCTGATGGTGTGCATTCGATCCTGACATTTCAAGTGATCAAGCAATGAATTTCAAGCTCATCTGATGTCGATCCTGACACCACGGCCGGCCTCCCCCGCCCCCCTACACAGTCAAAAAGGTGAAGTGCATATTTGCCTTTGGGTCCACCTACAAGCAACCCCCTATTCATCCTCCTACTGAGGCGCGTGGTTGTTAAAGTGAAGGGTGTTGACTCACCCCACCGCTCTTCCCGCTCTTGACGTCTGATTTCTTCTTCGCCTGCTTCTTGGCGTCCTGTTTCTTCCTCTCGGCCAATTTTCGTTTCTTCCAGGCCAAGAATGTGATGTAGGTGATTTTGGTGAGGTTGGAGCCCAACGCCGCCCGCTCCTTTTCCACCAGCTCCTCGATAGAAATCTCCTCCGACTTGTCGGCTTTTTTCATGTCCTGGGGAAACAAGTGACCGCGACTGATATCCATCTCACAGGAGCATAGGCGTACATTTTACTGACCATTTCCGAGGTATTCAAAGCTGAGTTCATGAATGAGCCCTGCACTTACAATGTCCACAATATCCGGCACATTTATAGGAGAGCACATACGACAGAACGCAGCTGCAGCTCGCGTGATCAGCAATCAGTGTTCTAGTTGCATTTTCAAAAAAGACGCCGCCAGCATCGGGCAAGCGTCGCTGCAACATCACGACTCATGCGACAGCATAGACAATGGAAGGGTTGTTGATGAATGGAACAGCACCTCACTCACAAACAGGTCGACTTGGTGTGCACCCAGATCAGGCAGAAGCTACGGGAAGAGCCCGGACGGCGACGACTACCTTTTTCAGGACATAGCCCTGCGGAAGGGCGTGCCGGTATATGCACTTGTCTCCCGACGGACACTGCCAGAACCAGCCGTACTTGCTGTTCTCCACTGCCTCCAGGAAGTACTTGCAGATCTGTGGCAGAAGGTGGCCAATGTCGCACCATACGTCTGTGCACGTATCAATGACGGGATCGTCCACGTATTACTGTGCTGTGGGCACTAAGGAGGGAACAGAGTGTCTGTGTGTCATTGGGGCTTTACGACGCACTCAGCTGCTGAGGCTATATGGCGTCGCCTGCCTCTCACCCTGGCAGGAAGGGCGGGCACCGCGGGGAATCGAACACCGTACCTCTGGTTTCCCAGACGCGCAATGGTTAACGCAGACGCGTTAACCACCACACTACCGGCACCCCCGAACAGAGTGTCTGGTAGCTTTCTGTGCGCGCAATTAAAAATCTACCGGACTCTTAAAAAATTATGTCAACGAGGTTGCAGTCTATAGAGCGATGGAGACACTGCGTCATATGCATCGTCTGAAGTAGCCTTACGAGCCATGACCAAGCAACAAGCACTATAAACCGAATTAAAGTCGGCATCCATTAATAAAAAAATGTACCCGAAGAGAACGCCACCAAGCAAAATCGTTCCAAAACATATAGCACATCTAATTGAGCATATTATCACGTCCTCCGAAAACATTGCCGGGATAGTATCAACCTAGCACATTCTGTGCCAGTTCTATCGGCTGTCTTACGATGGTGGTTTTCGGCTTGTTCTGTTCGGTCTCGCCTTCCTTGGCGTTGATGACCGAGTTAAGCTTGTCAGCATCCCACCCAGACGGGTCGTCGTTCACGTCGCGCGAGTCGACGTAGAGGTTCCGCTTCTCCACCTTGCGGCCGATCTGAAGGCCAAAAGGGCGGTGGATATGACGGCTCTGCACAAAACACACACATGCACACAGGAACAGGCGGCAAGTTGGGCCTGATACGGACTCTCACAGAAGCGTTGTTCAAAGCTCTTCAATGGCCAGTGCGAGTATTTTGGCTTTAAATACATGAGAATCATCTGAAAAATACCGCGCTGATATTGTCGCCGCGTGGCAACTGCAACGTGACGATAAATGACATTGTCGGTGATCGATAACCACATCCGAATGAGAGCCTTTTATCAGCACATTATTCGTAAGTCAATGATACGTAAAACTGACTTCAGTAGCGTCACAAATTCGCGAAGGTTGGCAGTTTAAGGGTTTAAAGCCTTAAGTTATCCCAACAGCTCAGTTGGTTGGAATGTCTGCCTTCCAATCCGCCCATCCGTGGCAAGGCGGGCTCGGGTCGCCTCAGGCGCTCGCTGCTTGCCCTTGACTGGAATGGCTTGCGGCCAGTGGCAGCGACCGCGCTAAAGGTCAGGTGACCGCAGCGGACGCGCCAAAGGTCAGAGGGCACGACAGACGTGCCGAGCAGTGCGGCACGTTAAACTCTCGCCACTAAATTTTGCCATTGGTCTGGAGTTTCACGATCCCATGGTAAAGTCCCGCACTCACACAACAAGCATTGCTTAACATGAGCTCTGACCCCAACCATCTGCCCATTTAAAACCTTAGGATCAATCATTAAAAAGCAAAGTTTCAAGGGCCAGTTAAAGACATATGCAATGCCTGAAAGCCACTCCATTGGCTATGCAATTGCATGATCATGACTGCTACAATTATTCCATGCATGTTCCACTCTACACTTATATACATGTCATCCACTACATCAAACATCCCTAAAAACATAACCATCCTTACACCATATGATCTTTAACATGATGTATCACATCACATAAGCCACATCAGTCAGACTTCAGACTTATACACAGTACAAGTCTGATATATACTTACATTGAGGTCATGTGAGAACTTGCATTTCAGGCCCTTAGCGCATACTGACTGCTTGAAATATGGGCAAAGCACTGACTTGGGATCCACAGCTGAAACATAACAGGTTTGCATTACTAAGTTATCTCAGCAATGTCTTTCAACCTATGATTAAATTGATCACCATCACATAGGTGTATGATAACAGTACTGGGAAGCATTATTTACCTCATGCCACAAACTTTACAATAAGTATGGAATACAAGAAGCTATTTTAAATCACATGGTTTTGAAGGAATATCACTGACAAATGAGTGGGGCATGGTTGTCATGAGGTCATATGTGCTTCACAATAAACTAACATCTCAAGTACGAAATGAAATTTCTTACACCATACCACACCACAAAATTACAGATGACCAATGAGTAGCTCACTTACTTTTGTCCACCTTTTCCACCACAGGTTTGAACAAGTCTTGAATCATTGCCTTCTCTTTCTGTTCCTGCTCCTTCTTCTCCTTCTCCTTCTTCCTTTGTTCTTCAATCTTTTTCTGAATTGGGTCTCCCCCAGCCTTCACGTTTTTGCTAACATGCTGAATAAACTTCTGCTGCTTTGCTCCCTTCTTATTCTTCAGACCAAATGTTTTGTCCTGGTGAAACAATGCACTTAAGCAACAAGTGGTTTTTAATGTTTATTTTTACCATAAAATGTCACATCTGGCTTGCAAATATGTTGCTTAGTGGCCATCCATTACAAATTTGTGGAAATTTTCAATCCTCTCTTTGGTTACACACTGATCATGGTGGGTGAAACCCACCCCCATGGTAACACTGTGATATCTGTGACATCCTAAAAATAAACACCTGTTTGGCCCTTACTTGAGCAAGATATGTGAAAAAATCACAGATGTTTTCTTTGTTATGACAGCAAGCCAGTTGAATCCAACCTTCAGAGCTCAATTCACTTTAAGGATTTTAGTATAACTCAGAACCAAAGTTGAGCATAATGTCACACCATCCCTAACCTCCTCTCCCCACCTTCCTGCACTTCCACTATACTCCATAATGATGCCCCCTCCACTGTAACTTAATATACAGATGACCCTGATGCATTAAGTTCTTCACACATCTGCCATGCTGTAAATATCCATGCATGACATACTATATACTTACCACTAATTATTCAGAACTCCTATAATGTCCAAATCCTGTATATCTCCTCACTGTGATCTAAATGTCAGAAAAATACAATTTAGAACTCATAGGAGATAGACACCTTTTTATCCTTAATTAATAAGTCTACATCATTACACATAGGTCACATTTTGAACACAAAACTGTGCACAAATGAGAATAACCAATTTCACCACTGACCTCTACTACTTTTGCCTTCTTCTTTTCTTCAGTCTTCTTGGAAGGACCTTGGACCTTTTTGGGAGGCATCTGTAACAAACAGTGAGAGAACTTAAACAAGAGTTCTTCCGAGTGCTGCCCAATGATGTATCATATTCTTGAAGATTTTCTTGATGGTTGTCAGCCTACATAACATCGCAAAGAGTGGTCACTAGTCACATAGGAGAGAGCGGAGCAGCACACCCTTTGTCATGAGTCCATTTCAGAGCTGAATTTTCAGAGCCCCTAGTGAAAAATCACTTATAATGCTTCCTGGCTTGTCTACACTACCATCCAAAGGCAAAACCTACCATGTTTATTTTTGGCCATTTTGCCTTTTTGATGTTCTTGATTGATCATCTCAAGCTGAATTCAGTCCTTTAAACCATTAGCTGAAATTTTCACAAGCTTTTAGCTAAAGAAAAGGCTCTAAATTTGTGAAAACTTCAAAACTAAGGGACTAAGTAGCCGCATTCAGCATAAAACATCAAGTGGCATGAAATACTCAAGATGGCCAAAAATGAGTATATGGAGTTTTGCCTTTGGATGGCAGCACTGTAGATAACTCATGGTGAAAACTTCTGCTGCTGTTGTGATGCTACCTGCCACTTCATGCATGAAATAGGCCAATAGCTGTCCAGAAAGGACAAAACATATTACACACATTAGTATAGGACTACACAGAAGATGGAACCACTGCTACACTGCTCTCAGCATATTCAGCACGACACACATTTGTTTGTGGTCTGAGCTAATGCTAAGCTTCAATAGAAAGAGGTGCAGTAAACCCATGAATAGAAGAAGCAAAGCATAACACACAATATTGATATGGCCACCAACCAGCCATGCAATATGGCCACACTGACCTACCTCGACTTGACTTATTGGCTATTCCTAAAGAGCAGCTAGATTTCTAAAGGTGGTCTGGTCCACAGCTACCTAGCCCGCAAATCAGGTGTATATTGTAGGTGTCCCACAATTTCCTTGCCTGCAAAACATGGATGATTAAATACGATACATTTGGCAAACACTCATCATCACTGAACATGTCTATGCACAACATTTAAAACCACTACTACATGATCTTCAGAATAGATCAATCTCTTAAACCTGATAACAGATGGGATAAAAAACTTACAGTGCACTTTCTGAAGGAAATTCGAGCAGCACAGCTGGTAAAACATCTATTTGCCTGGGCATCTGTTAGTGATCTATATGCGACACATACACCACTTTGCGTGAGGATGACTTCATCTTTACACCTTCGGCACGGATCAGCTACATTTTCGCAGCAATCGAATGCACCAAGAACTCAAAGCTACTTCAATATCGAAGTAAAAAGGTTCATAAAATCCAAGTATCCCATGCTCACCTGCCTTAAGTTGGCCTCCAGCACGTCACCACAACCACGCACCTGCCCGCGCTGCGGGCCACGAGAGCATCACACAGATTCACCAGCCACTTTTCTCTTTATGACATTTGTCACAATTGCGCTAGATTTGTCAAAGCACGGAACTCTTCTAGAAGTTAAATTATGTTTAGATAAACATGTTCCTCCATTTATGCGGTATGCAGGCCATGCGCGCCAATTTATTCATAAATGGTTAGCCATATTTCACCAGAGATGTGTCAGAGTTGGGTTGAGTTTCTGGCAAACATCCTTTGTTGGAGCCAATCTAATGCTCTTGAGGCTATTTAGTATGCAAGGTGATTTCCTTCGATGCCAATGTGGCCTTGGTTTTGTGTACCAGGGAAAGTTGGATATGTAACGACCTGATATTCATAAAAGTATGCATTGAAGTATGCAACCAGTGGGCTGGCTTAATTTTTCCTAAAGCCATAATTGCACTGGTATAAATTGTAGACTTGTTCAAGAAAACATACTAAAAGAACTGGAATAGCCCAAATGTTAGCACCACACAAGAAACTGAATTTGGAAAATTACCATGGATGGTTACGTACGGTTACCATAGCAACGCTGATCCAATGCCACCACTGGTGCCTAAATCATAAAACTCGTGGAAAGATCCGTTGTGTTCCCATTGGCTTTCGTCATCGTTCTGTCATTTCATAACCTCATTAAGAATCATTATTACTGGTACGAGCTGCATGAGGATGATTTCGCGATGCCCGACGCAGTGGCGGATCCAGAATTTCGTCGAGGGGTGACCGCGCAACATAAACGCAGCTCGTTGGTTGCGACGAGAGGAAGCCAGTGGTGCCTGTCTTTAAGGTATTGACACATTCCTGGTAGGATTTAAGCATGGTCTTCAGCCGCGCCGGAGCGAAGATTACACAGGCCGAACACTAACCAGCCTGTCACGCTCCCCATCAAAACCTTTGGCTCCCCTCCATCCGTAACTTGATTATGGGCGTACCCTCTGTACATATTTTGACGGCTTCACAGCTTTCCACGCACCTTAGCTAGGTTGGTAGCTATCCATGTAGCCTAGGCTATAGGTAAAGTGACGCGCCTAAGTGGGACGGTCGGCACATGGGTTCTACGGCACGGAGGACGGTGACCAGGCTGTAATAGTATGTCCCCAACTTGTTCGAAATTACTACGCCTGTCTCATTGGCTATGCGTCGTAAGGAAGAAACGTCTTAAAAACTAGGTTCCACACAATTTCGCTTTATGTCAGAGGCCTCCGGACGCGCTTCGCGTGCTGTCAGCCGTTATGACAGAAGAACATCAATCATGCAACGTTTTACTCCTACACCTGTTCCAGAGACCGTTCAGCTTGAACAGCCATGGCCCACATGGGAAGTGGCGATATGCGCGGCATGGGGGACGGTCCACCATCACAGCTGAATCGGGAGCCACGCCCTGAGTCGGCCGTAAAAACAGATATGGTGAGGACAAATCAGAGGTGTCTTTAGTTTTCAGAACTGACTTGTAAAGGACTGGGAAACCGAGCCATATACATCGGGGCCTTTTAAATCGTGGTTCTTACAGGTTTCGTTTCCTAACATGGATATAATGTTCAGTTTGGATCCAAAAATATTGGCTGTTACATGATGTAGACTATGAGTACATGGTTTTTGAAACATTTCTTATGTTTTTGTCGGAGCTGAATGGAAAATATCAACCTAGGTGCTGATCCCACGCATGATAAGTATTTGCCATAAGTGATAAAGCAGTGATGTTACCTTTCATCTACGCTATCAAGTCATATCTGAAGCTGCACAACGTCAGAGAGCTAATGGGACGAACCTGGCCTGACCATATTAGTGCCGTAGCGCTGAGCCGAGGTGGTGTGCCGCTAGATGCGTCCGTCGCAGTACAAGCGCGAGATGTGCATGACGACGGCCGACCGGCACCGCGCCTTCTCCGACAAACGCGAGCTCGACCGACTGTACGCCGGACACCGGCCCTACAAGGCCTTCACCGTCATCCCGCACCGCATCGTCTTCCAAAAGTTCAGCCGCTGCGACACGCAGGAGCAGCAGGTCATCTTCAGGAACGACGATTGCGTGAGTGCCGCACCGCGCGTTGCTGTGGGCCGATGGCGGGCGACAAAGGGTGTCTCACGTTCAGCAGCCAGCGGAGGCTCCCTACAGCGGAAGTTGCATCGCCGTCCTTTGGTCCAGGTGCCGACCCCTCACCACCCAGCCACGTGTTCCTCTGTGTGTACTGCCCTGGCCAAAGCCGTCGATATCGATAACGTCGTAACGTCGATAGCGCGGATATCGATAACGACAGTATCGAAAACGCTGCTATCGATAATGTCGATATCGGCGAAGGAATATCGATAACGTCTCGCATATTGGTCTTGCCGGTGACCGGAGTGACTAATATAATGCATTCACTGCAACGCAATTATGACAACGCGTTGCCATGATTGTGCTATAGGGATTGTTGCTGCCCTGCATATCACCCGCCTACTGCGGGTGACGCCGCTCATGCCGCCCGCAGGTCTTTTCACTGAAAGACCCGATTATGTCATGCATATCGGCCATTCTGCTGAAAGGAACGATCAGGCATCGGTAAAATGTCGTCGACTGGTTGGGAATTTTACAGGGTTTCAATCAAACGACATGCGCTTGCTTTTGCTTTGGTTCACAAATTACTTGGTCTAACTTGAGCTTTTTACTGGGCGTGTTCCATGGGAGGTTTGGAAGCGTCCGTGGAATCATGATGCAGAGTCGGTTCTGAGCGCCATACCACGACCCGCAAGGGGCACAACTAGGGTGATGAAGTGCTGTGGCGGGACGGGCTCTACTTTGATCTCTGGATTGCTACTCACGTTAGGTGACGATGCAACTTTATGAACGTTGTATGTTAAAATACGCCACAAATTTCTGACTAGTCGCCCAGCATGCGAAGTGAATGATGCACGAGACAGACAAAATGCTGTGCATTGTTGGGTTTCAACCTTTGTTTGCTTATGGAGTGTATGTCAAGATTGGTTTCGCTGATTGGTTGGGAAGTAACTGCTCACCTGTGGGCCAAGCTTGAACGAAATGGAAGGGGTTGTCGATTTCTGCTGAATGGGAACATGCGAAGATCGAAGTACTTCCAATTTTGCGCACACAGGCGCCGCACCTGCCGCGCGTCATGCCGTCCATGTCACCTTGCACATCACCTGTCGTAGCGACTGCACTGACGTTCTCTGCCGCCCGCAGGTGCCGCACCTGCTGTGCGTCATGCCGTCCACGTCACCCTACATGTCACCTGTCGTAGTGACTGCACTGATGGTCTCCAGCAGCCCGCGGGTGCCGCACCTGCCGCGCGTCATGCCGTCCACGTCACCCTACATGTCACCTGTCGTAGTGACTGCACTGATGGTCTCCACCAGCCCGCGGGTGCCGCACCTGCCGCGCGTCATGCCGTCCGCGTCACCCTACATGTCACCTGTCGTAGTGACTGCACTGATGGTCTCCACCAGCCCGCGGGTGCCGCACCTGCCGCGCGTCATGCCGTCCACGTCACCCTACATGTCACCTGTCGTAGTGACTGCACTGATGGTCTCCACCGGCCCGCAGGTGCCGCACCTGTTGCGCGTCATGCCGTCCATGTCGCCCTACATATCGGTCACGCTGGTGTCGGCCCAGGGCGGCAAGCTGGCGCCGGGCATGTTCGTCGCCTACCGGGTCACATTCAGACCGGAGGAGCAGTGCGACTACTACTACGAGCTGCAGTGCACCAGCGACCAGGTCACGTTCGCGGTGCCCGTCATAGGTCAGTGCGGGCCGCCGGCCGAGACCTCGCTGCCCCCATCCAGCCAGGCGGACGCGGACGCCTCTCGCGTGACGGTCGGCGGATGGCGCTTAGCCGGTGTCACATTCCACACTTGATACCTTGTTTGGTAGCGAAAACACCAAAAAGGTCACAAGCTCGCTCAGTCAAAGAGCGAGCTGCTGGTCGTGGCGTTTTGGTGGAAGGAGTGTCGTCTCATGGTGGTGTTTGCCACGTTGCTGTTAATGGCGTGCTGCATTAGGGGCAGCTCCAAACTCCGTCGCCCGTTACGGAGTACGGTCAGTGCAGTCGGGCCGCTTGCTGCCTTAAGTCGGGTGCGAGCGGAGAAAATGGGCATGGAGGTGATAAATTCAAAGTTTGCATTGGCATCGGGCTCCAGCGAAAATGCTGTGCTTTGAATGATTGTTGGAAAGTGTCTGTAACGCCGTCGCTGCCTCTGCGGTTGTTTGGGACGCAGCGATCGGGCCAAGAGCAATCCTGGACTTTCCGGACCGGATCGTGTTCCAAAACCACCCCGTACACGCCGAAACGTCCAAGCAACTCTCCGTGAAAAACGTCGGCCAAAAAGCCGCCAAGTTCTCTCTGGATGTTGCCAAGTAAGTACGGCATGCTTCGGCCTGGGCAATGAGTGCTCGCGAAGCTTACCAAGATATTAAAAGAGTGGAGTATAGTTATGATCATAATTGGCCTCAGGCACGGGAATCCGTGTGTTGTGATAGCTCCACTGTCGTGTTTGAAGTCCCACTTGGGACCAGCGTGTTCCTGCTGTTGTTGAAGTGCCAGCTCTCGTGTGCTTCGACCGTCTGTCACTTCCGCGTGGTCTGGTTCAGCTAGTACAATCATTGGCCTCACTTTTGGGTTTCTGCTGTCAGACAGTAACGCTACCAAATGTGCTGCAAAAATATTTCAGCTGTAGTGTGATGCCTGACCTCATGGCCGCTGTTGTGATGCCGTTTTCGCGCCAGCAGCCTTGGTTGCATATTCTTCTAACTATCGCAAACAAGAGTACAATGGGAGTGGCCCTAAAGATGCTACCCCGGACCTTCCAACCCCCAGTGTTTCCTCCTGTGCGGCTTCCCTGTCCGTGGTGCCTCTTGCGCCGAGCTGGCCCCTCTACCGGTGGTACCTCCTGTGCCGAGCTAGCTCCCCTGCCAGTGGCGCCTCCTGTGCCGGCCTGGCTCCCCTGCCAGTGGTGCCTCATGTGCCAAGCTGGCTCCCTGCCAGTGGCGCCTCCCGTACTGAGCTAGCTCCCCTGTCGGTGGCGCCGCCTGTGTTCGTTGAGCGGTACTGATGTCTGGGCGGCAGGCCGTTTTCCGTCGAGCCGCGCTGCGGCTCGCTGCCGGTGGACGGCGTGACACAGGTGACGGTCCGCTTCGTGCCCGGCCGGGTCGGGCAGCACAGCGCGCGCGCCCAGCTCACCTACGACAACGGTGAGGAGCGTCAGGGTGCGACCGCCGCCCGCCTGCCGGAGAAACTACAGTGCACCACCACACGCGCGGGGCTTAGCTGCCCTGTCCACGGACATGGAAGCGTCGCTTCGAAGTTCTTCTACACTCGCCCTTAAGAGCTGGTTTTAGAGTTGTATTGACAAGTTTTTAGTTGGTGTCTGATTGCTGGCTTAGTACTTTGCACTTACTTTTTGGCTGAGCGGTGTCCATTGAAATTGGTGCTTAAATGAGTACTTAAAATGGTACTTGAGTGGCATTACAATAGTCTTGTTGGTGTTGGGTGGTGCTTGTGTCGGGGTGTTTGTTTTTAAGAAGGTGCTGTAACAGACATAGACTTTGACAGCAGCCTCAGTGGGTCGTTTATGTTATCCTCACCGACAACAGCGGCTGGCGGACAAAGCAGTCTGTCTGCTTTCCGTGGGCAATTCACAGCAATGGCGTTGTCTTCGGGAGGTATCCCGTTGCTGTGATCCTACACATACACCCCGCTGCAATGTAAGGTGTATTTAATAGCTTCATAGCGTACGTGCTTTTTGAACCTGGCCCTGTGGCGTGACCATGCGGCCGCTGGACGTGCCATTGGGCAGCCTGCGAGGCCGCCGGTCCTGACAGAGCGAATCCCGCAGGTGAGAAGGTGATGATCGAGATGCACGGAAATGGTGTGGAGGTGGACGTCGGCTTGAGCAGCTACGGCATCCGCATGGACACCACCTTCATCGGCTTGGCCTCCCGCAAGTGCGTGGTCCATACTTTGCGGCTCCGTTGGGTGGATGTGGATCTCGTGGAATGCTCTGGGGGTCGATTCACTTGAGCGTGAGACTGCGGTCATCTTGATGTTATTCCTGCCATTAGAACAGCTGGTTCAGCGTTGCGCGCGCGCGGATTACGCGACCATCGTCGGGACAAGTCAAATACAGCCGGCTTGAGTATCGCCTTGCGGGGTTAGTGCGAGGACGCCGAGCTGGCTCACAAGCCGCGTGTCTTCAGCTCTTTCACGCGTGTGTTGGCTGACAGACGCTCCCCGGTACCGTCAGGACGTTTCGTCTGTACAACAAGAGCGCCACCCCCGCCAGCTTCGCCTGGCGCTCCCTGGAGACCGAGCTGGAGTACAGTCAGCAACAACAGGCCAAGTGAGCTGCTCACTCGCGCTGACGCAGTGCGGGTCTGTAGAATCACTCCACCCACCTCCACTTAGATAGCGGCAAAACGATGGACTCGTTCCATTCTCGCTCGTTCCACACTCATTTATCTTCTTTACCTCAGACAGCATGAACTATGCATGCACCGTTTTCGTTATCACATGCCTTCTCTTCTTTGGGCTGAGTGCCGCCGTGTGGCCGGAGGCCGTTCGGGCGGGTCTGTAAGCACGTGGGCGCACCTGGCCAAACTCAGACCGCCATCCGGATGGTGGTGACCGCGTGCAGCGGTTGACTCGCGTCCCGCCCCGCACGGCAGCGCGGCGCCGGCTGCCGAGGCGCCCCCGGAGCCGGCGGCCGACCTCTCGCTGGTGGCCGGTCTGGCGGCCGGAGCTCGGCTGCCACTGCCGCCGGCCGCCGACCAGCCCGAAGCCGCCGCCGCCGCCAGCGAGCCCACCTTCCAGCATCCTATCTTCAGCATAGAGCCGCTGGTGAGCCGCTGACGTCATCGGGTACAGTCGGTTCAGACCATCGGCCGCTCATCTCCCCACTGGCACCTAATGATCTCCGGTGTGGAGGCACCTGGCGCCGTCAGGAGTTCGTAAGAACGATGGAGCCCTTTCCCCCTAATTCCACCATGTCATAACATACCTTGGGTGAAATGTCGGTGCTTTTTCCTGCCGTGCACAGCTGGACTCCGGCCGCTCGAGGCGGGCAGCGCTGGTGCTCCCCTGCTCCGGAGTTTGTCGCGTCTGACGGGCGCCGGCCGGTGACGCGAGCCGCTGGTTCCAGGAGGGCGAGGTGTGGCCCGACGCCGAGGTGGAGGTGACGGCCATATTCCAGCCCAACGCCGAGGGAGAGGCCGACTGCATCGCCTTCTGCCAGGTGTCGTCTCCAGCCCGCCGCCGTCGCGCGGTGACCGGGCCGGGGTTCCAGTCCAGAACGTGGCGTTAATCTGTAGACGACTGCCTGACGTGGGCGCCGTGACATGGTGTGCTCGCCACCGCCTGGGTGGAATATGAGAGCCTGTCCGGCGCCAGGCTAGGCCGGGCCGCCTCACCTGCAATGAGCTCTGGCATCCCCATTGTGCCGGCAGATGGGTCAGAGGCCTGATCAGAGGCCGTTCTGTTTTGGGCGACGAAATACCGCCTAGTTTTCCGTGGGGCACGTCAGAGGCCGTTCTGTTTTGGGCGACGAAATGCCGTCTAGTTTTCCGTGGGGCACGATTTCGCCAGATCCTGCTGATCGTGGTGTCTTTTTTAAAAGAAAAAGGAAATAATGTAGTTCCGTGCACACACTCATATCAAGAGAACAAATCAGCGGGGTCCAGTTCCGACTTAAGGTGAATCCAGCCTGCCATGACGGATGGCCTGAGTCTGTGCTCAGCTAGCGAGTACCGCCAGCGCCCGACGGCCGTGCCCGCTGCCGGCTGTGACGGCGCCCCTCCGCTGTGGCTGTGACAGGTGACGGGCCGCGCCGGCCGGCTGTCGCTGCGTCTGTCGGGGCACGGCCGCGGCGCCGACGTCCAGCTCTCGCTCCAGTCGCTCGACATCGGCGCCGTCTTCAAAAACTCCGTCTTCAACTACGAGGTGGGGTGGCCAGAGCCGCGTGGCGCACTGCCAGGTCAAGGTGTCGCCTTGTGTTCTTCTCGGCTGTACGCAATGATGCTCATGCCATGGTGTTATTCCAAGTCTAGCTGTCGGAGGCACTTCATATAGTGCAGGTGCAGGAAAGTCTACACCATCTTGAGGCTTGGTGTGGGAAGTCTGCCCCAGATCCACAACATGTTGTCAATCCACACCGGCTTCAAAACGTCGCTCCACCCATGATTCCGATATTCCATATCACTGTCACAAGCGGGCCCACATCGGGTAGGGTCTTGCTACCATCAGCGGTTTCCAGAGTCTGGCCGTATTGGGTTCACTGTATGACCGCATCCCAGACTAGCTTAGGCTGCTCACCCCATGCGGAGCTCTATGTTTTTATCATTCCTCAACACATGAGATTGGCAACATCGTTAGCGTCCCCGCAGGCGGGTGGAATTGAAACCAATGAAACCCAAGAGAGAAAACGGTCCTGGACCACCCGATCGAGAGGGAGAGGAAAGCGATGCCGGTGTCTGGCCGTCTCTGTCCGAAGCAGAGCGGCACATACCCCCGTCGTCGTGAGGGTCGGCCTGCCGTCCAGCTGTGCTGACGACGCGTCTGTCCGGCTCGCCGACGCAGGTGGTGGCCGTGAACCGGGGCGACATCGCGGCCACGCTGCGGCCGCTGGCCGGCGGCTCCGCCTGGGCCCGCCACATCAGCTTCCACCCGGCCGAGCTGGTGCTGCACCCCAAGGACCACCACACCATAGTGCTGACGCTCGACGCCCAGATACTGGGCCAGCTGGAGGAACGCTTCAGCGTCGAGGTGTCGGGCGCCAGCCGACCCCTGACGCTCCGCCTCAGGTCAGTCAGCCCCTGACGCTCCGCCTCGGGTCTGTCAGCCCCTGACGCTCCACCTCGGGTCTGTCAGCCCCTGACGCTCCGGCTCAGGTCAGTCGACCACTGACGCTCCGCCTCAGGTTAGTCAACCTCTGACGCTCCGCCTCAGGTCAGTCGGCCCATGACGCTCCGCCTCAGGTCAGTCAGCCCCAGACGCTCCGGCTGAGGTCAGTCAACCTCTGACGCTCCGCCTCAGGTCAGTCAGGCCCTGACGCTCCGGCTCAGGTCAATCAACCTCTGACGCTCCGCCTCAGGTCAGTCGACCCATGACGCTCCGCCTCAGGTCAGTCGGCCCATGACGCTCCGCCTCAGGTCAGTCAGCCCCAGACGCTCCGGCTGAGGTCAGTCAACCCCTGACGCTCCGGCTCAGGTCAATCAACCTCTGACGCTCCGCCTCAGGTCAGTCGGCCCATGACGCTCCGCCTCAGGTCAGTCAGCCCCAGACGCTCCGGCTGAGGTCAGTCAACCTCTGACGCTCCGCCTCAGGTCAGTCAGGCCCTGACGCTCCGCCTCAGGTCAGTCAGCCCCTGACACTCCGTCTCAGGTCAGTCAGTCCCCAACGTTCCGTCTCAGGTCAGTCAGTCCCCAACGTTCCGCCTCAGGTCAGTCAGGCCCTGACTCTCCGTCTCAGGTCAGTCGAGCTCTGACGTTTTGTCTTAGGTCAGTCAGCCCCTGACGCCCTGTCTCAGGTCAGTCGGACCCTGACAAAGAGTCCCCAACTATGGTCCGGCCTTGACCGGGGCTGTGAGTGGTTCTGGAATCACGGCTTCAGCATTCCGATTGATTTCGTGCACGAGAATCCCGAACCTGCCTTAAGTGCAGCGGTGAGCATTTTTAGTATCGATGTGTCAAGCGCCAGTGCCGCGCTGACCGGCTGACTGGCTGGCGGTGCCTGGGGCTGCGCTGATTGGCTGACTGGCTGACGGCGCCTGGGCCCGCAGCGGCCGCGTGGTGCCGCCCACGCTCGAGTTCGACGCGACGCTGCTGGACTTCGGCGTGGTGGCGTTCGGCTTCCGCAAGGTGCTGCGCTGCCGGCTGAAGAACACCTCGCTGGTGCCGGTCGAGTTCTGCCTCAGCGTGCCGGACGACGGCTCCGAGCCGGCCGTGCGCCAGGAGCGGCTGGGCATGCATCTGTACCAGGTGGGGGCCGACGCCGGCACCGAGGCCGATACCGAGGCCGACGCCGAGGCCGACGCCGACGCCGACGCCGACGCCGACGCCGACGCCGACGACGCCCGCCCGGCCAGCCTCGCCACGCAACGTGGCGGGGGACATCGTTGTTTTGCGTGGCAGCAACTCGTCCGTGGTTAGCTAGGCGCATGTGGGGTATATTGTGTGCAAGGATGTAATTATTTTGTTACGTGGCGTATCCGTAAATCTGAGAGTATATATAGGCCGTTTCCACGACACAGACTGCCAGGTGCCGTAAAACATGTTGGAGTGCTTCGGATCACCGTGCATTAAATTCCACGGTCCAAGCGTATCGAGGGACTCTACGCAATCCAAACAGCCAGCTTCAGCTAGGTTTATTTTTTGACATAACACACCGAAAATGCGCTGAGTAGTATATGTTCACGGAGTATCTGAAGTGTTTTAACATGGTCATGCTCTAAGCCGAAGGAAGAGGGCCTTTTGTCAGCCATTTGTGGTCGGAAGCTTGCCGCAGTGAGTAACGTGCGTGCCGGCGCGGCTCAGGTCGTGAAGAAGGGACTCAGCCTCCACCCGCGCGAGTTCGTCCTCAAGCCGAGCAAGGGCGTGCTACAGCCGCAGAGCAGCGTCACCATCAAGGTGCGTCGCTTCACCCTCCCTCACCGCGTGCCCGCCGCTGTCTAGCGGCCGACGAGGCCCAGCAGCCGAGCAAGACGGCTGCTGGGACGGGAGGGTCCGAGGCTATGTGTGCGAACTAGTGTGTGGCAGGCCTCGGAGGACCCGTTCTGGCGGAGCGGCGCGGTCAGCCGCCGCCGCGGTGGGGTGGTCGACTGGAGACAGGTGCCGCTGGCACCGAGAGCGCACTGAG